TATCTTTTTTTTTTTTTTTTTTTTTTTTTTTTTTTTTTTTTTTTTTTTTCATTTTTTATTTTTCAAAAACATATAAACACAATCATTCACATTTACATAGAAACTCCACACAGAAAAAAAAGTAAAACAAAACTTTCAAAAAAATTCAGAAAGAAAAAGATAAATCTACTTAAAAAAAACTATCATTCTTACACTAAACAAAAACACACACACACACACACACTCACACACACACACACAAGACAGGGGAAAAAAAGACAAGTGAATCAGTTTCATTTAATTTTTAACGTTTTATGGTTTATACGTTTAATTTACATAATATTATTGTTTTAATCATCAGTATTGTTTGTTAAAGTGTTAGATAATTTACTCCATTTTGTTTGTACGATTCAATTTTATCATTTGACAGTGCAATTGCTTCTTCAATCTGTATCCTTAACAGCAAAAGTTTTTAAAAAATATCAAAAGTGGGCTTTCTTCCTTGATATTTCATTTTTAAAATGTAATATTTCATTAGAATAATGATATAATTTACTACATTACTTATTTATATTGGTTGTAAGCTCTCCAAAAAACACTGTTTCTTTACTGTATGAAAAATGAAGATTAATGGATAAGAGAAAAGAATGCAAGTTTGACCATAAATTTTGCACAATATTACATTCCCAAAATAGATGATGAAGTGTTTCTAAACTACTGCAGCAAAAATCACACAAATTTGAATTGCATAGATTATATTTGAAAAGCATAGTGTTTGTTGCAGTAAGTCTATGGATGAACTTATACTGAAAATTTCTTAATGTCACATCTATAGTAATTGTAGTGGTATAGTATATATCTTAATCCAATTCAATTCTATATTTATTTCTTTTCCCATTGCTCTTCATTTTTATTTTTTACCTTCTCATCATTTTCAAGTTGGATATTATATAAAAGTTTATTTATTGTTTTGGATTTTTGAATTTTATTGAGAAGCGTATCTTGTTCTTCCATATAAGTTGTGTTATTTTTTAGTTTCTCAAGGTATTGTTTTGGTATATTGTTTATTAGCATAAAGTATCTTAAATAATCAGCATTTTCTATTCCGTAAATTTCTTTAAAATCATCATATTTATAAAAGGCTTTTCTCCTATAATCATAAAGATGTTCTATATAAAATATGCCTTTATCATGCCATGTTTTATAATAAACCAGTTTGTTGTCAATTTTAATGCTAGAATTATTCCATACTATGTCTTTAACATTATCTTTGTTTTTATTGTGCTCATGCTGAATGTGAAACCAAGACGAAAGAACATTATTCATGAACGAATTATGTGGATATAAATTATTGATATCATTTTTTGAAAGATTACATTGGAAGATAAAATCATTTCCATTTTGCTTTATCTTGTGTTTTACAAAAAGTTTCCATGAAACTCTCATTATCTTTGTTTATATACCTTTTTACCCAGCTTGCTTTTACTGCATTAAGATAAAATGTAATGTCTATCATTTTTAGTCCACCATTTTTATATTAAGTTTTAAAGTTTTGCGTTTTATTTTTTCTGGTTTTCCTGCCCATAGAAAGTGAAAGATCGCTTTAGTTATTTCTTTCATCTTATCAATGGATGGGTTTGCTAAAACTGAAAAAGAATATATTAATTTTGGCAATGTAAAAGTTTTTATCACTATTACTTTCCAATCAAAGTAAGCTTTCTGTGTTGCCACTGCTTTAAGCAATTGAAAAAACTCTTGAAGTTTAGGTTCTAAATTTATGTTTGTATATTTCTTATAATCTGACGAAAAAAAGGCTAATGTTTTGCTGAATCAGATGTCCACTTAAATTTTCTATTTATACAATATTCTATATTAGTATCTTTAAATGACCCGACTCGTAATATTGTTGATTTCTTTGAATTAAGGTTTAAACCGGAAATTTTACTAAATTCTGTTATCACATAGACAAGTTTTTCGAAAGACTTAACTGAACCATCGTTTACGAAAGTTGCATCATCTGCAAAGAATGATTGTTTTATTTCTTTGTCCTCAACTTTTATTCCTTTTATTTCACTATCTTTTTCTATGTAATTTGATAAAATTTCTAAACAGACGATGAATAATGATGATGATAAAGGACATCCTTGTCGAACACCCCTTTCTATGGTAAAAGGTTCTGAGAAATGACCATTATTTACAATAATACTTGAAATATCAGTGTAAAAAAGTTTGACCCATTGTATAAAATCTTTACCAAAATTGAACTTTTGAAGAGTATTAAAGATAAACTGATGATTTAAACTATCAAATGCTTTTTTCATAATCGGCAAAGAATAATAAACCTGGTTTGTTTTCTTTTTGAAGATATTCAATTATTCAAAAAATCATCCTTACGTTTTCACCAATGTAACGGTTTTTCATGAAACCTGTTTGATTGAAACTAATTATAGTTGGCAAAACTTTTTTGATGCGATTAGAAATAGTTTTTGTTGCTAATTTATAATCCACGTTAAGCAAACTTATTGGTCTCCAGTTTGATATATCTGTAAGATCTTTTTCTGGCTTTGGTATAAGGGATATAATTCCTTGTCTTTGAAGAGTTGTTAGTTTTGATATTTGAAAAGAGTAATTAATCGAATCAAGAAAATATTTTTTGATGCTATTCCAAAATGTCTTATAAAACTCGACGGTTAAGCCATCAGATCCTGGACTTTTGTTGTTTTTCATTTCTGATAAAGCTATTTTACATTCATATTCATTTAATATTCCTTCACATATGCACTTTTCTTCTTCATTTAATGATTTAATGTCTGTATTAAAAAAATTTAGATTTGATTTTTGTGGAGCTCTGTATTTGTATAAATTTTCAAAAAATGATTTTTCTTCTTTTAATATTTGTTTTGCGTCTGTAATTTCATTATTTTGTATTTTTAACTTGTGTACAATTTTTTTCTCTGCATGCTTCTTTTCTAAGTTAGAAAAGTATTTACTATTTTTTTCATTTTGTTCTATGTGAATAGCACGTGCTCTCAAAATCGAGCCATTTACACGGTATTCATAAATTTGTTCAAGTTCTTGCTTTTTAGATATCATTTCTTTATGTAATTCATTTTCATTGTTTTGTTCATTATTGCTAGTAGTTAGTATTTTTTCTTCTAATTGTTTTATTTCTTTCATCAAATTTAACTCATTTTCTTTTTCTTTCTTTTTCTTTTGACTTGCATATCGAATTGTTTCATTTCTTATTGCTCCCCTTTATAACCTCCCATAGAGTATTTGGATTGCATGCTATATTTATTTCTGCTATTGAGATTATAGTTGCTTTTATTTGACTTTGGTACTTTTCATCTAGTAATAAAGAATTGTTCAATTTAAAATAGCCAGGCCCTTTTGTCATTGCATTATCATTTATTGTTAAAGTTACTAAAGAGTGATCTGTTTTATATCCGTGTGAAATATTACTTTTTGAAATGACGTTACATAGCACGTCAGATACCAAAAAATAATCTAATCGGCAATATATAACTGGTTTTCCATTTGAATGCCATGTAAATTGTCTCTTTTCAGGGAGTATCTTTACATTGTAACTCAAAATTAATTTTTTCAACAAACAAGAACATTTAGAAAATAATGACTGTTTGAGACATATGCACAAATTTAACAGACTATTGTTGCTTTTTGCAGAAGTTTGTAAAATGTTGTTCTGTTTTACGTAAAAATCTATAGATTTAAAATATTTTGCACAAAAACTTTGTTGTTTAGGTGTTTGAATAAAATATGTCAATTCTGACGATTTTTAAAACTGGTGACATGAAAAATTTAATATGTTTGCCGTGAAATAAATAATGACGCGGAATTAGTGATGTTGAATATAATTAATTTTGTTAATTTAACATGATCTTTACTGTTTATTAGTTCTACATCTACATCTACATTGTACGTCAGCGCAATCACACTTGATTATGACGCGACGGGTGGTGCTAGGTCAAGAAAAAGAAATATACAAGAAATGATAGAAAGTTAGAAGAGGTTGGATAGTACAAAGGTAGAGATATAGACAAAAAGTATGGCCAGCTATATTTCGCCTCTTCAACCCAAACCTCTCCGGTTACGGTGGCCGCTGCCGGCACAGCCTTGGATATCACTAGTGGGTACTTGTACTGGAAAAGAGTCAACTCGGCCCTATACCAACTCGGCACGGGTCAACTCGGCACGGGTCAACTCGGCCCACTTTACAAAAATATATATAACGTATTAACTTTGCTTTGCATGTTGTTAAGGTAAATGAATAATGAGAAATATCTTATTATTATATAATTTTACATTGTAGATCTACTTCTACGGAAATAAAGTATATTTAGAAAAAAAAGTTATTTATTTGTCTTGCAGATTCGATAGATCTAATGAAAATGTGTTTCCTTAGATGCATTTTGTTTGTATTTAAAGTACTATTCAAAAAATAAGAAACAAAAACGTGTTTACTTAATATCATAAGCTTCTAATTAATTGCAGGTGGTCACTAATCAAATTTGAATGAATGAGTTAGTTGGACACTGAAGGTATTTAAATTTACGGTTAAAGCTACCACGAGTCAGAAATACAGTGAGATACGCAATCGGTTATCTTTACTCACTATTCTACTGATAAGAAAGCCTGTCTGCTGCTAGTTCGGAAACTGTCAATCCATGTATTATAAATAATTACAATAATTACAATAAATAGTGATAACACAAACCTAAATATTATTAAAGTGGGCCGAGTTGACCCGTGCCGAGTTGGAATAGGGCCGAGCTGACTCGGGGGCCGAGTACGTTTTAGGGCCGAGCTGACCCGGATTCCTTGTACTTGTAGTTCATTCAATTTATGGGCATTTGAGTGAAAATAATAATATTTCCTCAACATTTTTGTTTTGATTTCTTTAAAAGTATTTAAATTTACACTGATTTTATATATAATATTGATGATTTTAGTGATGTTTCGCCTAAAGTTATGATCACGTGACCAGACAGGAACCGGAAACACAAATATGCAAATTTACGAGTTCACGACACTGGCACGGAAAGAGGAAAGAAAGCGTCGTACTGCATATGAAATTTAACTGAGATCGCTAAAATAAAAGTGGATTTTGTCGCTTTTGATGGAATAAAATTCGATGCAATTATGACGGAAAATGTCTTCAAAGGTTTGTTTTTAATTTTTTAACTTCTTCTTGGTACTTTATTGGTTACTTTTTTCGCATGCAGCATTTTTATGGCAGCGGTGATCCGCGCTGTAGAACGTCGCATACACAAAAGATGGTGCAACCGTCAAAAATCAAGATATTTTTTAATTCTAAGAATAATCCTTAGTCGAAGAAAGACATAAGGTAATTATTGGATGTGTTTGTTTTAATGACAATTTATATTATTTTGTTGGATTAATCTGAAATTTTGAAAACAGCAAACTCGTTTTGGTCTCGCACAACCGTTCTGCCAAACCAAATTTTTCAGTGATCGTTAAAAAAATAACCAGCAATTGATACTGTACGCACGACATTTATTTTATTTTCAGCTCCAAGAAATAAAAGATTGCTGAATAGACGCGATTATGAGGTAAAAACTGTTCTGTTCTTCACTTGAATTTCTGCCAACAGTTTACTTTCAAAATGGCGGATAGAACGTCAGTCAGCCATATTTGTTAGGATTTCGTATATTGAAATCACGATAAGTCAAGGCACATATAATTCTGTTTGTGGTTTTCATGCTTTATCAATATTTTTGTGTGAATCTTTCACTTTGTATGCAAGTTGAAATTAAAGTAATATGTCCATACATCACTCAATTTTATCATTATTTGCTTTTCTTAGATTTTAGAATTATTTATTTTGTAGTGTACATAGATGAAACAAACATTAAATTTTGAGTAAAATCAATAATTCAAATAATAAAGAAGACTGCAACTGTTCAAAAAGGGACAAGTCTTAGTTTGATCATGGACGTTTTAAAAAAGATGTTTCCATAAATTAAAAACAAATTGTTGTAATTTTGTAGCCAGGTGGTATTTCACCACCAAAGAAAGGGAGAACCAAAGATGATTTCTACACATTCTGCTCGTGGGTCCTGACTTATACTCAGTATGAACAATGGAAACAAGACGTAAGCCACATATTTTAATAATTCTCCATTTAATTTTTATTAATCTAATGCTTATTCAGATAATGATGAATTCGATCAGTGGTCATCTTTTATAAATTTACAAGTAGAATATACAGCGGAACAAGTAGAAAAAAGTAGTCTGTGTGTGTTATAGATGAGTTAAGTATCAGCGAAGCAGAAGACCACCAGCATGTTCATATGATAATATGTTTTCATTTCACAAAAGAAAACCGGACTCCAAGCATGTCTAAAATGCTCACTATATAAACCACAGACAGGCTCAATCCGTTATCGATCCCATCAACGATTAATTTTGTGTGTGTTTTGGGCTTGACTTCCGGTTTTCCTTCGCTGATATCAATTAATAATATGACCTAGAGTCTTAAACTTAAATCTTGTGTTAAAATGAGACAAAAAAATGAAATCATTTAAAAAATGTCCTATTTTTTATACCACAGCTTAAAAGAACACTTCCTAAGGGGCCTTTAGAAGGTTTATAAATTGCCCCTGTTTGTAATTAAAAGGGTCATAGATTGAACACTATATTATGTCAGTTCCAGTTATTAGTTCTTGAAATTTTGGAAAATGTATTTCAATGAAATACTTGTGTCAGGTCAGGGATTTGAACTCACAGGCTGCTAAGTCTGCTTATGTTGGCTAAATGAAAGTAAATTCATGCTTAACTGTTAATATGGCAAACATTTTCATATTTTTCTTGTTTTTGATGATTATGCAAGTCCATTCAAGCTATTTTGAACTTCAACTTTATAAATGTTTAATTTGTTTGAAGAATTCATAGAATGTATACACCAAAATTCTCAATTAACATGTTCTCTATGTGTCAAAAGGATTTTACTATAAATGTCAAATACAATACAATGTTGTGTTCTAAAATGACTTCATATATATTATATAATGTATGTTTGTTATTTAGTGTCACTGGAATATAGAATAGGTGATTTTACTATTTTAGGAACTGAGAGCACGAGATAACACTAGCCCAATGGACAGTGCATCTAGTACTGCAGAAAGTTACACATCTGAGTCAACATTGTCATCCAGCAGCAAGGATGATAGTGGGCATAACATAGATCTTCAAGATTCAGGTAGTTGCTTTAAATATCATGATTTCATATGTTTCGTTTATAGCCTTTGTTTGTAATGCAAATCATAAGAAACAAGTACCCTTTGAAAGGAAAAGAAACATTTAAAGCGAAAATGAAAATGTAATATCTTGAAATAGTCCAGAAAAAATGAATTTGAAGTTGTTAAATATTTTTTGTATTTTTTACTTTCTTAGTTCAGACTAATTAATCCATGTTCTTGAAGCGTTGTTATGTAACTTTATATACATAGGATAAAGTTACTGGTTTTAAAGATTAAGTATTATTTTTGCAGATGACGAGAGTTGGGAACTTATCACATGTTTCTGTATGAAGCCATATGCAGGACGACCTATGATTGAATGTTCACAGTGTAATACTTGGATCCATTTATCATGTGCAAAAATTCGCAAATCCAACATACCTGACACTTTTGTGTGCAACTGTTGTAAAGAGAAACGGTTCAAATCGCGGAAGTCAAATCGTGTGAGAATTGAAAACAAGCGGATCACCATATAGCCCAGGCTTTGTTTTATTCATGTTATGCCACTGTTGTTAAATATGATTATTTTGTATGTTTGTTCAATGTTAATCGTGATGTTTTTAAATGGTGCAGATAAATTATATACTTGGTCTTGTCCCTCATAGCATTATGATTTTCCGTCATTTTGAGGATTTCAACTAAATTTTTTTTTCATGCAAGCAGAGTTATTAGAATAATCTGTTCCCTAGAAGCAAACATAAGCCTAAACAATTGAGGGATCATAGATATATTTTCTTAACTGTAATTGTTAAAAGGGAAAATAGCTTATTTATTTAAAGGTTAAAAATGTTGGGGTTTTCTATGTATTAATACCTTAAATTTCAATTTGTAATTTGGTATGACTCTCCACCTAAATATTTTAAAAAAAATGTTATATGGCAGCATATATTATTTTGATATTCAGAATTGAATATTTTGAACAATGCCTAAGTTAACATCTATTTTTGTTATGTTTTCTTGAATAGTGATACTTCAAAGACATATATTCCATTTGAACATGGCCTGACTAACAAGTATTAAAAAGTTTGTTCTTTTAGGGTTGTTTATGTGAGGTCTGAAGGGATTATATAAAAATGCATTGAAATTTACCAATTAAGCACATTTTAATTCCATTATAAACTATGTCTTGTAATCATTCTAGCAAGGTTTACATTTTAAACACATTCATGATGAAGCATGTACATTAGGAAATCTTTGTCAGACCTATTGTCATATGCTTTTATCCATGATCATGATTATAGAGCCTAAATCTTTCAACTTGTAAGTACAGGGCTGCGTTTCATAGGAAGTCCTAAGTGTAACCTAAGTCCTAGACTTACGACAGACTAAATGACTAATTTGAAACCACTTCAATAAATATTTTCATCTTTAGTCAAAGTCTTGGACATTTTTTTAGTTCAGTCTTCTGTGAAAAAGTACAAAATAAACAATGGCACCTGCTTCAACCATCAATGTGTAAATATGTTAATCTGCATTGCTTTTTAGAAGAGTCACATAAGTTAAGACATTTTCTTGATATGAAAATTGTCCCAGATTTGGTCATAGGACATATTTTAGTCTTAGGTCTTACCGTGAATTGCAACCCTGATTTTTGTCGTTAATATCACTGTTCTACTTTGTCGTACATTTCATCTTTTTAAAATGGGTTTATGTATTGGAAACATGTGCTCTCTTAAAAAATTGTGCAGTTTATTTACATTCCATGTTCTTAATGACCTGAAAATGTAAAAATCAAAACAGTATAAGGGATATTTTGATGCCAGTTTGCTTTTACAGACTAATCTATTTATAGCAAATAGACCCTTTTGAAAAAGTTATTTTCTTATAGATGATCTCTGAAGAACTGGCATTGTGCTGTATAATTGTTCATATTGGACATTACACTGATTGTGTTAAGGGTATTGTGCTATATTGAGGTGTCCATAATTAGCTTAATTTTAGTTTTGTATTGTTTATCATACTACTGTAAGTAAATTGAACAAATATTGTTTGTAAATTTTTGTGACATTTGGCGGGACATACTCTATCTAAATCATCTTGATATACTGCTTTATGAAAGTCTAATTGAGTGTTCTTGTTACGGAGGGTTTAAATTCTTTTTATAGAAACACTCACTGATAAATTTTTGGGGAAATGACATGAAAGTACCTTGATGTTACAGTTTTTGAAATAATGTAGCAAATTGTTACATTGTGTTACACTCTTTGATTATGTTCTGAATTTATAAATTGTCTTTTGCTCGATTGACTATAATAATGATTATAAGCAACATATTAAGGCAAATGACTGCAATGTCATCTGATTTTTAACTTCATAAATTGCATAGCTATGAAATGATTGCCTCCTCATTAATTTTTCCTTTTTTATAAGCATTCATAAATTGGCTTATCTTATTGACAAATGTATATCAATGTGCTAAACCTGTTACACAGGTGCCTGATCAGTCCCTTATATACATGTTGTTATTTTTTAATACACTATATGTTTTACTTTGTAGAGATTAATTAAAACAAGTGATCTAATGTATTATTTTCTGGAAATGAAACATTTTTGAATAATTTTTGCTTTCTGGTAAACTTTGCAACATGCTATACTTTTATGTTCATTTTACTAAATATAGATGGCATTTCCTTCTAAAAGAATAAAATAATAAATTAAACTGGGCTTAATTGATTTCAGCAATAATGCTAAAGTAGATGAAATGTTTGTTGTATTACAATGCATGTGCTTAATACTAGTGAATGACCTTTACAAGCCTATGTTATTCTGATCAATAATTCATATAGAAAAATGGCAAACTATGGAGTATTATACCCACTTACACCAGTACATGTTATATATGTAAGGTTACATGCTATGTTTAACATATTGTGAGGAGTGGTTCTTATGTTAAAAGTAAGTACTCACATAGTAATATTTTTATGACATTATTTGGCTAAAATGATATCATACACAATGAAATGTATAAAAGGAAAGGTTCTTTTACCTGTCTTTAAGGGCTTAATTAATTTTATTTATTTATCAGGTATTGTTCTAACAACTTTCAGAGAAAGTTTAACTTGATATATGTTTTATGTAAGACTTTGAAGGAGATAGAATTAAATTGTATTGCATGCATGTTTAATTTATTGAAATTATGGCATTAGAAGTTTTGTGAAATATATGACAAATTTGAAAAGCAATTTGATTAATCTATATATATATTTTTATGTATATAATTATATATACCTATGTGCTATTTATGAAAAGAAATTATTGTTTTACGCATGTTAGTTGCAAATTACGAGCAGAAATGAATGAATTTAATGGATTATTTTTCTTTCAAATAATTTGAATTCAACCAAACTTTTATTTTTAAGAAAAACTTTTCTTCAAAAGTAATTTATAACAGTTTTGATTATTCTTCATAGCATATATAAGGTAGATATGAAATTAAAGGGATACACCTGTATTAAAACAGGTTTTATTTATTGTTCCTGATCCTTGTAAATATGTCTGTATATTTTGTAAATAAAGAATGTACATTTTATATAAATATAAGTATTTATGAGGGGTGTTGAAAAATGTATGGAAAAATGCTTTTAATGGCCATTAAATGCAAAAATGCATATAGCTCATACCTATCCTTCATTTTAATATGTACCCTGTTGGACATGACACGGGCTAGCTTTTCTCACCATTATAGAGCTAGGTCATGCTGCAGTCAGAAGAGGGAATGTTGGTAGCTTTTAAATTCTTCAACTTGAAATAGACTGCTCCATAATTAAAAGAAGTTTAAATTTACATAATAAATCAAGACGGTTGAGTAAAGGAAATTCCGTCACACACACTCAAATTTATAAATATTTTGTCAAATAGTATATTTTTTTTAATAAATAAGTACACAAAGTCTGTTTTGTTAAAATATGTTGAGGGGGGGGGGGGGTATAAGAAATGTTAGCATTTTTCCATGCATTTTTAGACCTCTTGTAGATGTTTATGTTCCCCTGTAAAATTCTCCACATAATATAAAGTATTCAAAGTATAGCAGAGTAATAGAGCCCTGCTATAGCGGTATTATTTAAGTAAGATTTGTATGTGCAAATTCTTAGAAATCAAAACTACTTAAAGTCTTAGTTTGCTTATAAAATGACAGCTTATAATATTTATAAAATCTTCATTTTGTATTTTTTTTTTTCAAGATTTTTTTTCTTAAATATCATTGTTAGAGAACAGTAATAGGGTTTGTGAAATATTTGCTAACCTTCAGTATAACACCAAGAAAAAATAGGTCTGTGAAACCTTTCATTTAACAATGTAGAAACACCATGGGTAATCACAACAAAACTACATAACACATGTTATTATTAAACATCAAAAATTGGTCAGTTTTCATCATTGACAAATCATTATTGCAGGTTCTTTTTGTTTTAGAAAAATGATAACTTTCAAAATATATTTTGGTTCATTTACATGTATCTACTGTTTGCACAGATGTTTTTTTTTTGTTTTTTGTTTTTTTTTCAAACAATTTTTACTTATGGCCTATTGTTGCACCATATTGGGTTTTTATTTTATCATTGGCCAAGTATTTCAAAATTTTATTGGCTTATTTGATTCATGATAAAAGTATGGGAATAACAAAATTTGAGGAAATGCTGTTAGTTTTTATTTTAAATGTCTTTTTAGAAAATGTGCCAAGACACAAGAGAAAATGATAAAACTGCTGCTCATGTACCAAGTAACTTTGAGTGTAGGGGCAACTTCCTTATGATCTCCTGGACACAATTTTAGTTCCTTTTTAAGTCAAGAAAGGAAATCTTGCTTTTTAAGTTATATTTTTAGACATACCGTTTCTATTTATCTCAAAGGGGATAATCAAAATTTTCTGTTGGTAGAAGTTTATCAACAAGGCAATGATCAGGTAGTTTGTATTATTAAGTGGCTGTTTTGTCTGGGATTTATTTGTTCATTTAGATAGATATCATTTTCTGTTTGTGCAATACAACGTAAGTAAAAAAAAAAACACTCATGTTGATTTGGCTTGTGTTAGGTTGTAATTATATCAAACCACTATCATTTTTGTACCTGAAGGTAGAAATAAGGAATATAACTATGCTGCATTGAATTGTTTTGTACCAGTTGTAAATTTAAATGGTTTTTATAGATACAATTTTTTTGTACTCTGTTTGCAATTTAAACCTTGTCCTTGTGTAAAAACCATTGAAAAATTCATCTGTGAATAGACTTTTTATCATTTCATACCATTATTGAAACTGTTCTCTATGTATCATGATACAATTAAAATCTTGTTAATTATTTCATGTTTTACACAAATGTACAATGGTTCTGTACAAACAAAATGTTCTTTAAGTGTTTAAAATACATTAAAAAATATTTTATTAGATTAAAATGGTGTTATGTTGTTGTTTTTTCTCTCAATAGCAAAGATGTGCTTAAAAAGTGTGTTCATATAACACAACTGGTATGCGAATAGTTACTGTACAAAAGTCAGTTATTATAAAATATTTTTTTGATAAGCACGCTATATATAACAATATAGGATTGATATACACCAAAATCTGCCTGTCACACTCAGTTTTGGAAATCCTAATATGTTACTGATATAGAATACATTTAGTTAGGGGTGCTTTGTATTGTGTGTCAAAATTACTCCTATTTTAGAACGAATAAAAAGATGTTTAGTACACAAAATATAAGGCAAATATTGTCAACAATGTCTTGTTATCAGTCCTCAGCTCCACTTAAAATTTTGAAGAGAACATTGATACAGAGTTCATTAGGCATGTCATTCAGATTTAATTATACAGCATATACTAAATTGCCGAAAATTTCCCAACACCGTTATCACAACACATTTACGTGCATGTATGCATGCACTTTTACATATTTAAGCAAATTATTTATTCATATTCAATGTCGGGATTCAGAATTCAGTACTATTCAGTCAAATCCATCATAGAAATATGTATCATTAACCTAAAGTTATAATTTTGGAGACCAGTGAAAGGTGACTTTATGGTGATGGATCCTGCACATAAAATTTAAAATCAGGAATTTTATAAGTTCACAAGTTGTAGAACTCCTAATATACCTGAAAAACATAATTATTGTGAGACGCTTTCAGAAACCTGAAACTCTTGCATGGATAGACTTCATTTCATTACCCACTGTGAACACTATCTTGTATGCAAAACCAGAAATATTTCAAGCTACAGTTATCTCAAAGACAGTGAATACATAGTTATATGGTCTAATGAGGCATAAAGCTGCATGCAAAACCTTCAACAAGTTATATACCTACACATGGAGTAGGATATCTCCACATGTCCTAGAATAGACAGTAGCTTAAAACAAATAAAGACCTCGTACGTGACCCTTTAAGAGGCCAATCAAAACTAATTAAATGGGTCAATACAATTTCTATACCACCTTTATCAGCATAGCATATTGCATTTGTTTATTAATAGCGTTGATACGATACTTCGTTTCATTATGTCCAACCTACATTGTATATAGCAAGTGAACAGAAGAAAGTCAAAATAAGTCTACATTTGTATGCCCCCGCCATATAATGGCTGGGGCATATAGTGTTACCCTGTTCCGTCATTACATCATCATCAGTTTCCTTTCATTATTTTAGTAGCAGTTGCACACATTCAACTCAAATTTGACATATGGATATCATAAGAAAATACAGGTAAAGTTTGAATTTGGTCATGGTCAGATGATTTTTGACAGTTATGCCCCTTGATGAAATTTTCAGTTTCCGTTCATTATCTCTCCAACAGTATTGCACATTCAACTCAAATTTGACATATGGATACATCAAAGGAATGCGCAGGTCAAGTTTGAATTTTGTCATTGTTTGATGATTTTTGGCAGAGTTATGCCCCTTTCACTTTGAAAAAAAGGAAATTTTCAGTTTCCATTCATGATCTCCCCAACAGTTGTACATTTTCAACTCAAATTTATTATATGGATATGACATAAGAATACACTGGTCAAGTTTGAATTTGGTCATTGTTTGATGATAGCTGACAGAGTTATCCCTCTTGAACTTTGAAAAAAATCAGAAATTTTTATATCTCCCCAATGGTTGTACAAATTCAACTCAAATTTGACATACAAATACATCTAAGGAAAGTTTCAAAGCCATATGTTGATAGATTATCGGAGGTGATACACAAACTTAACATAAATTCCAAGTTGAAGAGGCATGATTCTGTCAAAATGCTTGATACAGTGACCTTGTCCTGTGTACAGATTGGGGTTATGATGGTGAACAAGTGTGCAAAGTTTCAAAGCCAGATGTCAATGGAATTTGAAAATATTTGAGATGGTACACAAACTTTAACTGTAATTTTATGTCGAAAGGCGGCATAATTCTGTGAAAATGCTCGATACAGTTACCTCCTCCTGTGTACAGATTGGAGGCATGATGGTGAACAAGTGTACAAAGTTTCAAATCCAGATGTCAATGGAATTAGAAAATATTTGAGGTGGTACGCAAACTTTTAACATAAATTTTAAGTTGAAGAAAGAAGCGTTATTCATAACTCAAAAATGAGGTGACCCCAAAAATTTTTTTGCTTCATATTCTGACAACATGCCAAATATTGAACAGTTTTAATTTTGCCTATGTGTCTATATGAAAATGGCTGTAACATAAGTGGTTACACAGACACTGACACTCAGGACTAGGATAGCTCTCTTTATTCTTCGAAAAGTCGAGCTAAAAATAGGCAGACTTTTTATATTTAATGCAGATTTATATTTTATCCTAAACATTTTACAACATCAACTGTTGGTCAATCACCATTATAACAGTCAACATTATGAGTCAGCTCAACTTGACAATGAAATATCGGGCATAATGTTGCTTTCAGAAAATGATTTAAAACATAAAAAAAGAGAAATAAAATTAATCTTTTTTAGAGTTTATTATTCCAGTAGGTCACTTAACATTTCAATTTCATTTGTTAAGTATTAAATTAACAAGTGACTTTTTATGTATAAATGTAATTCAACTTTCTTAAATTATAATTTGTTTACTGCTTACAAGCAACCCTTACTTTGTTGGGATATTAAGAAATTAAATTTCCTTTTCTTTTAAAAACATATACATGCTGGAATTTAAGTTAAATTCAAAATATTACAATTTCATTAAAAGACAAAAATATATCTACATTATAAATAAGCTGCATTGTAATATTTAAATGAAATATACATGTATGTTTTTTTATGCATATACTTGACAACTGCTTCATTTTGTATGCCTTTCCAGCATACTTGTATGGAAATACAGAGAGAAAAAAACATCATATAAGTCCTTAAAATTTTCTACCAGTATGATTTTAAAGTGAGTCACTCGAAGTTGAAAATGAACATGTTAATACTTCATTTCAAGCCGCCTTCTATTAACCCATTCCTTATAATAATGACATCGTTCAAAAACTTTTTATAAGCCGATACCCCACAATAAACATAGCTTTCATGTCTGCTGTTTAAGACTGTATTTAGCCATGGCTAAAGCTCCTTCGTAAGTAGTATTGCCTCCAATAAAACCATTGGCATGTACAAAAATACATCCTGGAATTCCAGACTTGTCAGAGAGTTCCTGATCCCTCAAACCCTGCCATTCTTTAGGTAATGAAAGTCTGCAAATAAAAAATAGTTCAATTACATATGTACATAAAAAACATTGCTTTCCCACCAAACTGCTATTAAAAATTATGGAAAATTTCCCTAATTTTAAAGTATTGATAACCAAGATAAAATAATCTTGGTAATCATTTTTTCAAAATTAAGGGGTTAAGGTTATGCATAGAGTTTATATAATTTTTTCTATAAACACAGGATTTATTTTCACCGAGTGGTATGAAATATGATAATAATCACATGAAAAAATAAATCCTGTACTTATAGAAAATACTTGAATTTTCTGTTCATTATATACATTTTTCTCTTTTAAGGTTCTAGCTAAAACTGTAATCACAACGGTTAATGTTGTCCTTAGCAACACTATAAGGGATTAAATATGAGTGCGGAAGTTGGAATATTTCCACTCACCCACAGAAATATTTGACAGATATCTGTACTTATTGAAAGCTTATCTTCACATGCCCATATAAAAATTAAAATAAGTTTGACATGTTTTAAGTGGAAATTGTCCTTTTTAGTAAAGAGTGCACAGATTTCCTTATACATGTATAAAGACAGTTTGTTGAAACCTTTGCAAATTTTAATCTGCAATACATCATGTCTAAAATACGAGGGGCATTTATAAAGCATTAATCAGTGTAAATTTTTACCGTTAATTTGAGCGCAATTGGTACATATTACACATGTATGGTAAGACTGTCCTCTACAATTATATGCACAAGGTGCACACCGTGATATACCTACGCAGTGAGCGAAATGTTCATTTGAATCGACTACGGTCAGGTACACTGCAGTTGAAAATGGCAGAAAAAGAGAGTTTTTCAGATGAGCAATGAGTGTATTGTAAAATTTGCGCATTGCTAGGTGTTGCTGCACCTGATATTAAATCAGACTCTTAGACACTGTTTATGGGGATAGTGCCCTATCGTATTCCACAGTAAGAAGATGGGTTTGACTTTTTACCTCCGGTAGAGAGACTACAAAAGATGAGGCCCGTCCTGGTCTTCCAGTCACAACAATGACTGACGAAAATATTACTGCTGTTAAAAAAGTTGTGGAAGATGATGCCCGCTGTACAGTGGAGGAGATTTATGTGGCATTAATTCATCATCGGTTTTTCAAGTATTGACTCGCGTGTTAAAGTTACGCAAGGTTGGCCCGATAGATACCCCACCTTCTCACTGAGGACCAAAAACGGGAGCACGTGTGATTTGCGTCACAGCGGCTCAATAGGTACAAAAATGCTGACCAAAACCGTATGAATAAAATTGAGCCTCGTGATGAAACATGGGTCTATTTTTATGGCCTGATGGTAAAGAAAACAATAAGGTCTGGGTCGGTGAAAATGACGAACAGCCCCAAATTGCCCGCACCTCAAAACGCATTATGGTTGCATTATTTTTTGATTGCAAGGGAATAGTGGCTCGAATTCCTATACCAGTAGTCTTACCGAAATATTTTATCGAGATTCAGTTCTTTTTGCTGTTGTTAGTCACTATACTACAGCCTGTCCCCGTACGGGGAATCAAACTCCTGCATGACAACACACCTGCCAACAAGTCAGTGGTGGTAAGGTTGTATCTTAGCGACAATAGCATTAAGACTTTACCACACCCTGCATACAGCCATGTCTTGCTCCATGTGACTTTTTGTTGAATCCTTACATCAAGAACTACATGAGAGGTCGCCATTTTAAAACTCGGCAAGGGTTGATTTAACAATTTCCGTAGAAATATTATGTCTAAGACTAAAGTGCCACACTGATAAATACTTTATAAATGCCCTTCATATATTCTTTTCAGAGCCAATTAAATATTCTACTAGTTAGTTGGTGTATATGTTTGTCAGGAAATTTCATACCTGATTTCACAATCTCAACCATGAACTGGTCAGTAATTAGAATCCTAATTTTTTTCCAACATGAACAACTTATAATCCTAGATTCCAGCAACATCTTCTAAACAATTTAAATGACAAAATTTTAATACAGACTTAAATTAAAATAAAACAAAGAGCACGGCTAGGGGGAGCATTATATGCCCGAAAGTGTTTTTTCTTTTCATTTAGTAAGGATGAAGCATTTGTAAGACATGGGAATTAAATAAAGTATTACCTCCTTCAAATAGCAATCCTCCTAAAAAGTTTGAATATTGTGGGCCAAATTGAACTGAAGTTATGCTCCGGAAACTGTTTTCAATTTTATAGTAATAGTGACCTTGACCTTTGACCTTGTGTCCCCAAAATCAATAGGAGTGTTCTACCAAATATGGACAATCATCAAATGAAGTTTGAATATTGTGGGCCAAATGGAACTCAAGTTATGCTCTGGAAACTGTTTTCAGTTTTAAGGTAATAGTGACCTTGACCTTTGACCTTGTGACCCAAAAATTAATAGGGGTCTTCTATCCAATATGGACAATCATCCTATGAAGTTTAACACTGTGGGCCAAATGGAACTTAAGTTATGCTCCGGAAACCAAATTGGTAAAGGACGGACAGACAGATGGACGTTCCAACATTTTGGGTTTAGGGGCTATTTTCTTTGTTATTTTCTTTGTTTTCTTAAGGGCTACTAGCCCATAAACCCTTTGATCACTGAATGAACCTATTTTTCTCTTTTGTTCTCTTTACTGTTATGTAGCCCCTAAACCCAAAATGTTTGCTCGGACAGACAGACAGACGGACGCCAGGGGGTATAACATAATATGACCAAAATTCTTTCGGGCATATAAAAACAATGCAATATAAGAATATCTATACCTATTTTCAAAGCTCCCCAATAATTTGGGTACACACTGAACCCTCCATTTGCCAGCAGTGTCTGTATAGAGGACATATTTTATAAGTGGTGAGATTTCCAGCTCTTTCTCCAGTGTAAATAGATGATCTTTCCACGGACAACCTCCCTGAGATAAACACATGATCTCTCCACTGGCATCCACCTGATACAAATAAATACAAGAGCCATGTCAACATGGCCATCCCCCGCCGAATGTGTTTGCTCATTGGAAGAATGTATATGTAGTAGAGCGGAATAATTCCATTTTAAGAGGTCTTTTGGTAATGAAAACTGATGGCTATAGTGATTACAGATTTGAAACCTATGTGAATACTGATGGCTGAAAATAACAAAGGGCAATTACTGAAAAATAATGCAGGGTAGGTTATCATTCTTGTGTGCTGCATCCCTCCTCAGTAAAATCTATCCACCTATGAAGTTTGAAGTTGATACCTCAAATACTTTTTGAGAAAAAAATTGAATTGAAAAATTAAGTATGAAAAAGAACAAAGGGCAATAACTCAAAAATTATAAAAGGTAGTTATCATTCTTGTGCAGTGCACACCTCCTGCGTGAGATCTATGCACCTATGAAGTTTCATTTTGATATCTCAAAGGCTTTTTGAGTTATGCTCTGGACAAAAATTAATTTTGAAAAATAACAAAGGGCAATAACTCAAAAATAATGCAGGGTAGAGTTATCATTCTAAAGCACTGCACTCCTCCTCAATGAGATCCATCCACCTTTGAAGTTTCAAATTGATACCTCAAATACTTTTTGAGATAAGCTCTGGACAAAATAGCATAAAAAAGGGCAATAACTCAAAAATTGTATAGGGAAGAGTTATCATTCTTGCGCATAACATTCCTGCTCAATAAGATCTATCCACCTATGACATTTCATGTTGATATCTCAAACACTTTTTGAGTTATGCTCCACTCAGGTGAAAAATTAGGTATGAAAAATAACAAAGGGCAATAACTCAAAAATTATGAAAGGTAGAGTTATCATTCTTGTGCACTGCACACCTCCTGAGTGAGATCTATGCACCTATGAAGTTTCATGTAAATATCTCATAGGCTTTTGGAGTTATGCTCTGGACAAAAATCAATTTTGAAAAATAACAAAGGGCAATAACTCAAAAATCGTGCCAGGTAGAGTTATCATTCTTGTGCACTGCACTCCTCCTCAATGAGGTCTATCCACCTATGACGTTTCAAGTTGATAACTCAAATACTTTTAGAGATATGCTCCGGACAAAAATGTCGGACGGAAGGACGGACGGACGGAGACTATTTCTATATCCTCCGCCGAAATTTTTCGGCGGGGGATAAATATTAATGGTCCACCATAAGTTGAATAAATTAATTCAGACAGACAGACAGACAACCTTTAGGGTACAAATAACAATAATTCTAACTTCTGTTTAAATGAAAAGTTTCAGGACATACTTCAAAAGTAGAATCATATGTCATTATACAACAAAGAAATAGCAGAGTCAGACATGTATTTCATTAGTAACCTTATTTCTAAAACTTCACTGCTAACGTAATTTATCCCATTTTATTGGTAACCTTATTTCTACCATTTTATTGGTAACCTTAATTCTACCATTTTATTGGTAACCTTATTTCTACCACTTGCTGGTAAGCTTTCTTTAATTTAACTGGTTACCTTATTTCTACCATTTAAAGCCTCTTCTACCAATTCTCGAGCTGGGAGCCAAGAATTCTTGCAGTACAAAACTCGGTCCAGGAAAACTTTACCAACAATTTCCATAGCTTTCTTGAATTGTTCCTAAAACAAATCAACATTATGTGGTTCATGCATCTATATGTTTTAAACTAAAAGTAAATGTGTTTTCACAAAATCTAATTTGTTTTTATCAATTGTTAAGAATCTTGGAAGTCAAAAAGTAATTGATGAGAATAAATATGCTTCTATGAGGGACAGCATCTATTACATTCAAAAATACAATTGTGTATGCAATTTCTTAATCATATTATTTACAATATGTGTACAGTCATGTCCGGTGATCTTGCGCGGCCGGTGATCTTGGGCACTCGGCATTTCCTTTCGTTTGGCTGTTTGTTAATGCTGTCACTAGAAATTTTCAGCCAAAATTTGTGACTTGGTCTTACTTTGAACTACAACAAGGTAAGAAAGTTAAAAAAATATCTGTCAAACATGTTTGTTTACATTATTTCGTCATCCTAATTATTTATTCATAAACACGCCCACTGACCTATTTTCCCATTATATTCCTGTCTATTCATCCAGTTCCAAAATCTTACGTCCAGCAAGAAAAAAAATCAATATCACACATTTTAAAGCAGTATTGCACCGATAAAACGTTGTAAATTTTCTTTTTTCCCTTTGCAAATTAAGGTGTGTTCAGTTGTTATCTCCTGCCGATTCCCGCCATCTTGTCAAAATGGGCCCCTCCCGCGCTTTTCAATTTTTTTTCTACGGAAGCGTAAAAGGGTCTAGACAAGAGCATTGAATTTGTTAACTGGTGTTGTACTGTGTGTAGTCAATGGGTGCATCTGAAATTCTGTACAGAAATTGAGACATTGACTGGTAGTGATGATTTCAGGTGTCCCAGGTGTAGTAGTGAACAGTAAAATAACAAACCCTTGATGTAAATAAGTTTGTGTTATAGTTTTGTTTGAACAGTTTGAACAGTTTAAATTAGTTTTCATTAATTGGACTCACAAAATTTATCTTGATAGTATTACTGGGACACCATACTTTTAAAAAAAGGGACCGTGACGTCATTCATTACATATGTGCAAGATCACCGGACAAATAAATGTTGGGATTAAACATGGTGGTAAGTGTTTACATTGTTGCACTCCTGCAGTTCATTGAGTTATTTCCAAAAAAATTTTCTGTCATTATATGTCTTAAAGATTTTTGCAAATAGGAAAATAATTATGAGTTTTTTGTATTTATTTGAATTGTGGTAAATTAGCTGATAAGTGCTTAGGTGCGCAAGATTACCGGACAGCATCGTACTATTACCAGTGTTGCATCTAGAATTTCAAAATTATGGGGGATTGTCCCCCACTCAATTGAAAAATGTGGGGGATTTGAAAAAGATGTGGGGGACATACATTTACCTTACAATATGACATACCGAAAAGAAGTCATTTATTTTATGTTCAGGCATTTTTGACAGCTATCGTCCGCTCAAAAACGGAAGTAAAAAAATAAAATATTGACGAATACTACAAAACACACGTGAGATGACACAGTTGGCTGCTACACGCGATTTAGTGAGTATTTTAGTCATAACCACGAGTGAAAACAAACATGGCTGAAGCGTTCAAGATATGATGAAGATATATTGAATTAAGTTGAAAAGATCGTCAGATGCGCAACTTGGCGCGCACTGCCTTCATTAAAATGCGCAATCTGCATAAAAAATGCGCAAATCATGCACTCGCGCGGCCTAGATGCAACACTGTATTACTACTACAAAAAGTAATGGTCCAACCTCTCATTTGCCAAGAGATACCATATTATTCCAAATATTTATAAAGAGAATAATATAATAATTATTGGCTAGATAAATAAACATTACATTATTTATATTTACAGTTCTTTAAAATGCAGACTTCATTTATTCACATTTCAGACTACTACAAAAGTAGTTAATTTTAGAAATGAAAAGTTGATTAATATTAGGTTACATTGTTTCCTTCTCTTGTTATGCAGAGAGTCTAAAATACATTGTCACCTATGAGCATAGTAAGTAATTTTGATATTGCTGTCGATTAGATAAACAACTGATTGTTCTTTACTCTAAAAGCAGAACAAATATATTTCACATATTTAGAAATGTGAAGGGCATTTGTTGCTTCTTTTTTGTTTTTGTTTTCAATTTTTAACAGTAGTATTTAACTTTTTACTTCCTCATCTTTATCTGTTTCGTTCCAAGAAGGGTTCAAGTTTGACACCTGGCCACTGAGATTTGTTGTTACTTTGTACCTGAAAGAAACACACACAAAAATATCATAAAGGCAATACATCATTACATGCTTAAAATTGTAAGGTACATTTAACAAGAACACACCATGCAGTGTTAACTAGGAGTGCAACAATGACTCCCAATAATGCTGAACTGCAATTTAGAGCTGACTATTCAATTCTCGATTCATCATGGTCGTATTTTGATTTGATTCATTTTCATGAAAAAATCTCCCTTCTGTTATTAAACAAATGTTTCTTTAAGCAAGCATTTCTTTCATTGGATACATCTTCTCCCTTACCCAATCAAATGTAAACATTTATACATGTTGCTTAAAATGGAGACAAACCACAAATTGTTGACACTCTTGGGTCATTAAAGTCAGGTGTCTTTTGTTGTAACTAAATAGTTTTTAAAGTATTCCCTATAGAAAAATTAATGTAAATACTGCCTGAGTAATTGAATAGAAATAAATGGAATCACAAAACAGTAATAGAGAATCAAATCAAGTGAAATCTGAACTGTTGCACTCATAGTGTTAAAAACTTATCTGTTAAGGTATTAGCACCCTAATGCATTACCTCCGCTTTGAAGAGTATTCAAATAGGCTAGAACTACTGTTAACTGCATTGAAAATGAGGGCCATGGGTTCAATCCCCAGAAGGGTCAACTTTTTTTTTCTTTCTTTTTTTCTTTTAACATTATTTATGTATCTCTCATGTCCCATTTGGAAAGAAAAAAGTGTTTAATTTTGATTTTTTAATTTATGTAGGTATTTATTGGCTAAATTATGCTAAATCTAGTAATAAATATGGTACCTGATATTTTCAAAGTGTAATATAATCAAAACTAGACGGTAAAAGTATTTCATATTTTACAAGATCAACCCATATACTTTTTAAAAAATTTAGGGAAACTTTGAAAACAGGCACTCATTTGAGTAAATTTTAAGAATTTTTTTAATTAGGCTCCCTAAGTAGAAAAATGGTCAGACACGTGGTAAAAATATGGTGGGGTAGGGTAACATTTTTATACAGATTTCATAAATTTTAAGTAGAAACTATAATTTTGCTTATGTGGATTGTTAGCTGAATGGTACTATTTGTTTCTTACCAAAAATTAATGGGAAAACATTTTTCATTAGAATGTTATTGCAGATTATTTAAAGGTTCCTCATTTCTAAAAAAGGGCCCTCATAACATCCTAGCTTGAGTTCAGAAAAGTGGCCATAACTTGATTTCCGTACGGTAAACTTTGTTTAAATTTTGCATACAGGTGTACTTTAAGGTATACATCTGACCTATGATGTCAATTTTTTAGTTCCTGATAGTGCCCATTAGGGTCCTAATACCTTAAGTGTGAATTCGACAAAATTTTAAATTAAAAAGAGGCATAACTCCAAAACTATAGCTTTCAGAATTATACCTCATGTCAAACAACTGCATCTTGTCATGTTAAGCAAGTATTCCAAGTTTCAAGTCGATTAACTTTTAGAATGTTTGAATAATTAACCCCTACATAAACATTAAATAAACATTTTCTTTGCTCAACAAATTAAGTCAATTAATACAAGTTTGTTGTTAAAACATTTCATTGACTGGATCATTTTTGTGGGTTTGCCACCCTTTGATAAGAACCCCAACCTCCTGAAAAGCTTTTAAAAATCTTAACATGAACCGAATTGTTCACATAGTCCAAATAATTTATACATATAGTAAATTAGGAAAATTGCCATAAAGTACTTTGGAGTTCCATCATACTGGTTCACACCATTATCAATACCATCCACCTCCTCGATAAAGTTCTCATACACCTGATCAAATACCACTTCCGTGATAGGGTCATCTACTTTCACTTCTAGAATCTGTGATATCACTTTCCGTCCAAAATGTAGATATACAAGTCCTGCACTGCTTAACTTAGTCACCCATTTCTTACCTGCACAGAGGCTTGACATGGTTTCAGTAAAACTCCTGAAAAAAAATTGTTAAAAGAAACATTTGCATTACATGCTATGGCAGACTGTCAAAAAAGGCCAAAACAAAAGGCTTAAAAACTGAAAGATAATGCTACAAGTATGAAATTGAAAAGGTCAATCCAGTCAGAGCATGATGCTTTAAAATATTATTCCATGATTTGCAATATTATGAAGGATATATAAAGAAATGTTATTTAAAAGGTCTGGCATAACGTCTAGCTCTGATATATATTGGTTGAATATCAGTATTACACTTTAAACATAGTTCTAAATACCTCTGATGATGGTCATATCTATGCTTTTCTGGATCAAACACCCCACCAACATCTACAACTATATCACATGTATCCAACACTTTCTGGTCCCGTGTTCTGAAATTTTGTGGCAACTCAATTACAAACATTTAATGTTTCAATATTAAATGGATAATGAAGATGCTCATCTAAATAGCTAGGTAACTATATGAACAGATGAATACATGTAGATAATTTTAATTGGTATATAATTATCTTAAGAATAAACAGTCATAAGTACAAAAGAATTTCCATGAATACATTCTTTCTGTTTAAATATCAATTAGTTTTAACTTTCATCTGACTTTATCTTGAGAACATTTTCAGTATGTCTATATGGATGACAAATTATTGGTTCATAAGCCAATTGAATGATAATGTCAATTTTATGGTTCTGTTAATCATAATGTCATGGTTGAGTCAGTTCATTATTCTGAAATGCACCATTCAATAGAAACTTGGCCCCTAAATTTCTAGGAATAATCTTTGAGTTGTGGATCAACAAACCCAGAATGAACCGTGAAGTGGAAAACCTCCCTAAATGGATGGCACTACCAGTTGGACATATACCCTGCTTTCTTGGCATCAAACAAAATGTTCTAACTGACCAAACAGTCAAAGCATGAATAATTTCCCGTCAATCCTGTTACATTAACCTTGAAGAAAAGAGTCTCTTTTCATTTAAAGAGTACAATTGACACAATTTTTGTCACACAAATGACTAGTGCATCATCTATTTGTCTGCATTCTATTAACGTTTAACTAAACTTATTGAGGAAATCAATAATAGATACCAAAGGCTACACATAAGAATCTGTCAGAATTTACTTACTAATTAAGGGGCACACAGACTTTAATACGGGGAGGTCAAAGACCGGGCCCGCGAAGCGGGTCCGGGCTTTGGCTTGCCCGGCTATAGACTACATGTGTATATTCAAAAGAAAATCAAATAAAAAACATTTAAAAAATATATAGAATTCTATACCTATCAATGAAATTTTCAGTGTCAGTTCTAGTCGGGCGCCGCCATTTGCAATGTAACTCAATGATAATAGGCGGGGTATTCCGATAACGGAACAAACCTCAACTTTTCGGATAAATGATAATCATCGAGTGTTCCAAGTGAAAACGGAAGCGATGCATGTGATACCGAATGACACCTTTAAAACGGATTTTTTTTTTAACAACTTCCCCGTCTATAGGCTTTGCCTAATTTCATATTAAGTAAACACAGTAATTCACCCAATGACAGCCTCTATATGAACTACGTAAAATACGTATATGATAAATTATCGAGTGAAAATATACGAGTTCCCTCTCTTATCTTCGAGTAAAATCAATATCTCTAATGTTAAAACAATACAAATTTAGCCATTTTTAAACAGCAAGTTTGAGGTGATTTAATGTCCGATTTTAATTTTTTTTACACCAATGAAAAGCTTGTGATCTTAGCTTCGTCTCAGTATATAATATAGGTTTTTAAATTTACAGTTAAACCTACCACAAGTCAGACCATTTTACATATGATTATACATTGAGATATGCAACTCGTTATCTTTAATACTAGCAATTCTGCTGATAAGAATAGCCTGTCCTCAGCTAGTTCTGAAACTTTCAATCGGTGTATTAGGGATTAAATCTTAAGTATAAATAGCAGATTACAGTGTCTATTCTAGGAGGGGGGGATTGATGGATCCACTCATATTTTTGAGACGTCCCCCTATTTTTTCAGAGGAAGGCAGAAATTTTACAAAGAGAAAGAAGGAAAAAGATCAACAAATGTAATAAATTCTTACTGTTCAATAAAAATCATCCGTTTTTCGAATCCTAGAATAGACACTGAGATTAATAAAGATCATTTTTGGTTTGTGAAATGAGAAATGAAAAAATAACTAACCTGACAATTTCTGCATTTTTGTACTGTGGAAGTAATTTCAGCATGAAACATGCAAGTACCTCGTCACAGTGAAAATGACCATTGTGTGTTCCAATCTTCAAACATTTGATATCCCCCGACATATTTCCAAACTTCCTCAAAATCTTCTTAAGTGCTGTTGTATGTAATTTTGGTGTACTAACAATGTAAAATATCACATATAATAATGGCTAAACGGTAAAATAGGTTATGTATAGGCAGTTTAACAAGGACTAATGTTAGCTCTATACAAGTGAAAAATATTCAAATCTTAGCACGTTTTGATTTATTTTCATAATTATTTTTGAGCGTATATCTTGCTCGTTGATTTTTAAATATTACATAATGCTATCAAAATTAGTATATATATTGTAAAATACCACCAGCAGCGACACTCGATATTACTGATGCAAGATTGGTGAAATTTTAAATTTATGCACGTCGCGAAAACTAATGATATTACTAAAGTTGCACAGATAAAAACATATTGACAAAAATGTTCATAGCCTATATCATTCAATACAATAAAAACAATCTAATTTAAATATGCATTCCCGATATTAATGCGTAAAATATATGTAAAACCTTTCAAAATTTAAAATCCTGAGAGACCGGCAAAATACACGGTGAAACATGAGAACTTATGAATGTAGAAAATATTTATTTGTTGGTCTTACAACACTATTTGTACCATGAAAGGAGTTGGACAACATTAACCTTATCAGTTATGTAGACGTGTTATAGTGAATAAAATGCCCTATTTTGGCCAAAACACTTTTTGAGAAATGTTGTTAGAAAAGTGATTACTTTTGGCGCCGTCCCATATAAGCATGGGGGGCCAGAGGAGGGGAAGGGGGGGGGGGGGTTTTCGGTTTGAAGGGGGTTAATTAATAGCAGCCTGCCTCATCGCCAAGAATATTTTGGAATGTGGGGGGGGGGGCGCTAAAAATGGCACCAGGTCGACCTTAAAGTAACGTGTAACCAATGGTGAAAATCTTTTGACTATCTCAATCCATTGAGAAGTAATAATAATAATAATAATAATAATAATAAAATAGAAACCCAAGATATACTGAACCTTACAGCTATTGATAAAAAGGCAGTTGTTTGAAGGTGTTTTCGCTGCCGCCTAAAAGAAGGAAGAAAGAAAAAAGAGAATAAAACAAGATACGCAACCGTTGAAAATTTAAAGAGACGGATTGTTACGGTGTTCCGTTTGGACAGTCGTGATTTTTAATTTAGTCTGTTACCGCGATGCAAGATTGTAAGATGGTGAAAACGCAATGGCACGATGGTGGTAAAAACACGATGGTACGATGGTGAGAGCGCGATGGTACGATGGTGAAATCGTGATGGCATGATGATGTATTTTAACACGCGATGGTACGATAGTGAGGTGCGATGGTACGATCTAGTGAAAACGCGATTGCACGATGATGAAAACGCGATAGTTCGATGGTGATCGAAAGCGCTATAAGGTACGATGGTGAAAACGCGATGGCACGGTGTTGAAACGTGATGGCATGATGATGAAAACACGATGGCGAGATGGTGCGATGGTACGATGGTGAAAACGCGATGGTAAGAAGGTGAAATCGCGATGGTAACATCGTGTTTTCACCATCGTACTATCGCGCCATCGCGATTTCACCATCGTACCATCGCGTTTTCACCTTCGTGCCATCGCGTTATCACCATCGTGCCATCGTGCATCGCGGGTACAGACTAAATATAAAGTTACGATTGTCCAAACAGAACACTGTACATAGATTGTTAACTATATATGATACCTTGTGGAGAAAGTAATGTTGATTCAAGATAAGTGGAAATAATTCTTTCAGCGGATGTACCTTTTGATTTTAGCAGTTGTATATATGAGAATAAATTCTATTTCATTGATTATCTTTGTTTATATTATTCGAGCCTCTGTCGATATATAGCAGGTGCAAAAAATCAACTGTTATATATCATTTGCACACACATGTCACCTTTGTGCCACCGTACATGTGAGATTTTCCTATATCAATTAATGAAAAAACTGTTCTGCTATATATCAATACTGTTTTCAAATGCTCATTGAAGTGTACTGAATATATAGAGGATATTTGTTTGTTTTGCATGTAAGATAGAAATATAATTTCACTGAGTGAACACCAGCTGCAATATTTTCACGAGTGGCGTAGCCACGAGTGAAAATATAATAGCTGGTGTTCACGAATGAAATATATTTCAATCTTATATGTAAAACAAATAAATTTTCTTTTTATTTCCTGCTTTTTAAGTGATTTTAATGATTTTGCTGCGTAACGTCGCGCATTCTCCTTTGTGACGTCACCACATCATGACGTCACATCATTAATTTTGAAATATAGTTCTGTTAAATTTTGTCTAATTTTGTTACATTTTTAACATGATGTATGATGACATCGACTTTCTTTTCCTAAAGAAGCAAAATTTACGTATGACAACATTTATTTCTGCCTGTTATTCTATTTCGTTATGATTTTCTATTCATCCGCATTCAGATATAGTTCGGCTACAGTGAAAATTATATTTTAGACTAAATTTCACTAGTGGTTTATCATGGAATGTATTCAGCGGGAAATATTACAAAAAAACAGAAAAGAAAAAAGGAAATAAAAAATGCAATTTGAATTTAAGATAAAAGTTCTTCAAAATATTTTCAATTAGTTTGATCCAGCGATTTTTAGAGGTGAAAACGCCAAATGGCAAGATGTTTGAAACACGAGGTACGACTGAGCCGATGAGTACAAGGTGAAATGCGTTTGATTCCTTAATAGTGAGTCTGGTACATTTAAGCTGGATAAAAAGCGAACATTGAAATATTAATGGAAAACGCTTTATACTATCATTGTCCGGGCGTGGTGGGACTGGGAAACGGTGTAAGAAAACGCAATCATCTTTTAATGATATCTTGGATTAATCTTTTTGGTCATATCGTTGTGTTTTCACCAGATGTCCCACGTGCGTCAATCTCCCAATGTAGAAGACCCTGATAGAAAGTTACGATTTCCAAATCAGAACCGAGGTTACCTCGATACGATTTGGGAGAAGGACATGTTGGTTCAGATAAGTGGAAATATGTTCTTCACGATGTCCTTTTAGATTTTGCTTGTATTAGCAAATAAATTCAATTCTTCGAAACTTTGGTTAATGTTTCCGAGCCGAAGATATTGAAAGCAGGGAACAAATAACTGTTATATACCGATTTACATGCCTTTGGCACCGGACTGTTAGTTTTCTATGTAAAAGTGAAAACAAGTTCTGCTATATATTAATGACTGTTTTCACCAGTATAGGCTGTATAAGGGTGTAGTAGAATAATCATGTTTAAATTATGGAATGTGTAAATGCACATTGCATGTCAATAACATGTATTAAATCCTCAACATTTAAGATCAAGGTTCTTCATAAGGTCAAGGGTTTGAATCAGATAGGCACCTGGATGGTAGCTCGGTTGCCGCCTTAAGTCAAGTAAGCAAACATGGAATGAGCTGCAGGTGCGGATATTAAGTCACAAGGAGTAAAGGTACATCCTTGAAACACCCAGGAACTTGAGGCAAGAATGTTTGTGCAAGAATGGGCAACTATTTCCGCTAGGACTGTCAGAAACTTCATACGAAGCATGAGAATGCGTTGCCAAGCAGTTGTCTTTTAGCAATGGGTCACTTACACGTTACCGAGTCAAAACGTAATGTTATCCATGATATAAATTTATAAATCTAACATAAATGGGGCTGTGAAGTTCTTGAAAACAAGGTGCGTTTCCAAACATTTTGGATGAAGGGTTGTTCTCTTCTCTAACACATAATTATAATGCAAAGTCAGTAAAAATTTTCGGGAAACGGACAAAAGCTCTCCTGGACAAAATCCATTCCATCCAAAAATGACTAGGCGGACAAAGCCCTCACGTGAAATTGACAGGGCGGACAAAAGCCCTCCAATGAAAATGAGGGTTGTTGTCCGGAACGGCTTTTTGTCCTACACTCAAAATTTTCAATTTGTTCTTCAGTCAAATTGATTAAACATAAAATTGACATTAAAAATCAACTGCTCGACAGCCGATTTTTAAACATTTGGCTCATAGCAAAAGTTAAGTTGTATTTTTGTCACATCAAAATTGAGCTATTTGAGAAAGTACAAATGAGCCACGTCACGACAAAACCAATATATTGCGTTTGAGACCAGCATGGATCCAGACCAGCCTGCGCATCCGCGCAGTCTGATCAAGATCCATGCTGTTCGCTTACCAACCCTTTTACAAGAAGAGAAACTGATAGCGAACAGCATTGATCCTGATCAGACTGCGCTGGTCTGGATCCATGCTGGTCGCAAGCGCAATATGTTGGTTTTGTCGTGACGTGGCTCAAATGTACTAAACAACTGCTTAATACGTGTATCATAATTATGTTTGTTTTAAATGTCATGCTACCAGCTTAATAGGTTTATATCATGGATAATATTACGTTTTTGTATCAATATTGTTTGTTATTGTAGAGATTATTTCTATAATTATTTTGACTGTTATCGTTCGTGAATAATAACATCCAATAGAAATTACTGATTTATCCCGCAATGATAAGATTAATTCGTCAGATTTCTATAGAACATTTATTAAATAAGTAAATTACTTTTCGACTGAAGTACCTGTTGAATTCCTGCTAATTTATCAAATGTATATGCTTAATAAAATCTAGGGTCAATACGGCGGCCAAAAGTCTGCATCGGACATCGCTTCGGGCTTTGTACTTTTTAATGAACAGGTGGTTTGGCCTTCCACTTTTAGAACTCCGGGTATACTCGTTTTTAAGAAAGAACCTGTTACGTTCCACTCAGTCCACTCGAGACTGGTATGATTAAACGTCTAATAACAGTTGTGTACCAAAGTAACTGTGTCATCATGTGGCTTGTGGTGTGTGTCCTGGCGTCTGCCGCTATATTTGTAGAAGTTGAATCCGTTTGCCCACACGAGGACATAAATCTGAAACCAATTTCAACACTCTACGAATATTTTCCGGTAAGTTTCTATAGTTTACATTGACTCAATCACTTTGCAAATTTTTGTTATTAAATAAGGAAGGCATTTTTAAGGCTTTTTTCTTCATCTTTTATTTCATTTTTATTTTCTTTCATTATTATTTTTTTATTATTTATTTATTCATTTTTTTTCAAATCGTAATATTGATATTGACGTGCGATTTATTTTATTGAATAGATTTTATTTTACTGAGAAAAGAATCGAAAATTCTACGAAGGCGTAAATAACGGAATATATATATATACGTCTGTCATAATTTGTTCACTTTTATTGTTAATGTAATATTTTTATTTTCTTTACATAGCAATTTCATTTTTTATTTTTTATCTATTTAAATGTTCATCTTAAAGGGTATATAAATTATAAAGGCTATATTAACGAAATAGCTTTTTTTAAAGAAAATCTATAAATAGTATCTTACGCTTGATTCTCAAAGGAGTAACTGTTGTTAAACAGAATGTCTCTGTTGTTAAACACACAAAAATGTTAAAACTTTTAACAAAATAAAACATTCCAGAAAAATATTATGCGGTTATCATAAGTAAGGTTTTAATTGCTTACGTTGATTTCGGGCGGACGGACGGATTGAAGTTTGATAGCAATTTCCATTAACTTTTAAAGGCCCTCTTTTCTTAAAAAACAACAACATTATTTTGGTTTTATTAGTATTCACCAGTATTCAATACTTTCTTTAATATTTATATAATATGCACAAGTTAGTTTGTAAATTCCTTGGAGTTTTAGCCAGAATAACCATAACGTTTGATAAAAGAAAAATGACAAACACAAATCGAATGATAAATACCACTATTAATGTTTTTTTTTTTTTTTCTAAATCTATATTTTCTGAAAACAGATTAAATAAAATTGACTTATTAAGGCCCTGTTTCGTGTCCAGCGAAATGTCGAAAAATTCTGTAACAGTATTACTATGTTTAACCTTATATCATATATAATTATAATAGTAGCGTACATTGCTTTGAATATTCCATCAAAACTAAACTCTACTACAGAGTTTAAACCTTAATGCATTCCTGGACCTTCTTAAGGTATGACCCCCCCCCCCCCCCCCCCGATGGGCATTGATGTATATGGTTTGATTTTATTCTTCCTATAACACCTCGGTGTTATGAACCAAAGTCTACGCGAGATTAGTACATTTAAGATCCATGATGTGTCTCAATTGGAATAAGATAAACTTGATGTTTGATAAAATAATATTTAGACACCTTTTTAAAAGAAAATAGAGATTTGTTTCTTACATTGTTTAACTAAAATTGTCGTAATTCGTGTTCTTTCTCCTAGATCTTTACATCTAGTGAATTGATATTGGATAAGAAACGAAGCCAGTGTATTATTTAGCAAAAATAAAATGCAGAAATGAAAATTAATGCAACAGAAACAATTGCATATTTTACACTTTACATTGTATTTATAATTTTCGTTCCATAACCTAACAGAAAGACTTAGAAATTGTGATCGACGGTTTGGTCCTTCTTGACATCCCAGAGCTTGACGTTCATTCCATCGACATCATAGGTGAAGGTCGCCTCGTTTTCAACCAAGGTCACGATATCTCCATCAAAACACGAGGGATTTTCGTGAAAGACTTTGGTCACCTCATAATTGGAAGTGAAACTTGCAGACATAAAGACAATGTTAATATTCAACTAGAAGGTAAATATCATATTTCATCAAGTAAAAAAATTCTCGAATTTCTATTAGCCATACATAACATAATGTAAGTCTCATTTAAAGGATGAGATCGACTATAAACTACTATAAAGTATTTATCATGTTAATGGTCACTGGAAATAAGATTTTGCATTACTTGTATTATCTTTGAAACAGAATTTGTTACATACAAGGTGATGAACTTTTTATATAATGTGATTTTATATATATAATACTTCGGACCTCATAGCATCATAAGTGATCTACCAGTCAATGGACCTAAACTTCCAGGATTGGTGCAAACCGACTGATCGGTCATTGTAATTCTAGGAGGACCCCAGTGCTGTAACATGCTTTATGTTCTTTCGAATAGTCATTGAACATTGGTGTATATTCAATATGATCTTGCTGTTAAAAATTGATTGGCCAATGTTTCACTTATATTAGGCATGCAACATAAAGTTACGCGTCTCTTTGCAACTATTAGAGATGAAATATAACACACATATTTTAAACTAAATAACTGAACAGGACAACGAACGGTGGACCGCACATTACTTGGAGATCACGGCGAGAAGTACATAGCAATAAGTGACTATGGCACCCTACAGATCCATGGCGAGGACAGGCTGGCATGGACAAAGTTGTCTGGTACGGTGGACCGATTTAATGCCAACAAAGACAATGTGCATTTCAGACATTTGGTAGGTTATCAACCTTGATTTGTTTAAATGATAAAATTATTCGTATCGCTCATCTTCCCCTTGATTTTTTTCTTTTACCGTTTCAAATTCAGTCGGCGAAATAAGAACTTTTCAAAGCACATCTTTGGATGCATCTTTATGTTGAAAGTATAATTAACAAATGACAGTTAGAAACATTTTCTGAAAAAAGTCAAACTGAGTTGACTGTCTGTCATGCATAATTAAATGGTAGATTGCAAAGCTAATGTCGTTAATTTGTTGCCAATTTACAAAATGTGTGTCATGTATTGATATTTCAACCTTATTTCAACCCTAATCACTTTTTCGGTGTAAGTTTTTTGTGGGTTTGTTTTACGAGCATCGGTGTTCTCTCCTAAATTGGCAAAGAGCAGAAACCGCATCTGCTTTATTAAAAAAAAAATATGTCACAGGTCTACCGAAAACCGATCACATCCAAGTTAGAAGCCATCTAACACTACATATATCGATGAAGCTTTTACTAAGTATTCTTATGCATGATCTTAAAAAGAAATCTTAGACATGTTTTCGTAAAAGTCAAAACATCATATTTCTTTGCATCCGTATTTTTCAATAAAGTGAACTTTAAAATCTGGAAAAGGGGTGATCCCGAGCGCGGAACCAATAAAAGCAACACTATTATATGAAAATTACAGACTCAGTTTGATTGAGTATGTTCATGATGAGAGATACTGTAATAGTTTATCATAAGTCTTTTTATTTCTATTTTAAATGGGATTCCATGCATGAACCATATCTGTAAACATACACCATTCTTACAAATTCAAGTTTTATTTCGATTAAACAATTACTCAGCCGGTTACCAACGGCCTAATCTAGCTTTATACTCTAAAAGAGCCCATGATCGCAATAAACCCCATTTGGCCAAACTTCAAATTAACTGTTCTTTATAAACAAATTATCTATGCTTCTCTTTATTCAATACAGGATACAGACAATGCTTGGATAAAACCGGCGCAATCCGGTTTCGCCGTCCATATTCTGGATCCAGATTTGAACTTTGTCTTTTATGACATATTCATCATGCAGTCTTCAGCCAGGAGAACAAACAAAGCATTGACTAAGCTGGCAAAAAAACTTGCAGGTAATTTTAGTAGAGATAAAATCCTCATTTATATCTTATATAGAATCCTCTCGAGGACAAAATGACCCAATACAGACAGCAACGCAGTGGTGCTAGTATTTTACAAAACAAGTCTTCTTAAGCTGTTACAGCACCAACATAATTTCACAATGAAAAGTGTCAACAATTGAAAACATGATGTTGGTCGTTTCCCTATTTAATGACACGAGTTGCCTTATTACTACTCTTTTAATCGACTTTCGTTTGTAACATTTTGCAGATGAAGGCTCCTCTTTCAGACAGTATTTTATTTCAAATTTCCTCCAGTTAAGTTTTCTTTCACCTGACGATATTGGAGAAAAGGAGAAAAGACGCCGCTATAATAGTTTCCAAGTAATTCACACATATTTATATAAATATGCTTTGTTGTATGAATAAATGGAGGAAAAATGTTGTCTTCTTATTTTTGTGATACCATCTATTGCTGTCAAAACTACAGAGTTGCATCTAGGAAAATATATCTCAACTCGTAATTATTGGTGTATTCTCAAATACATTTATGTTCACAGCTGCCGAGGACGGGTCTGTTATAGCTATATCAGTTCAGGTGCAGTTTATCAAATCTGTGGACGCTGACTTTGACACTTTTTTCGAGATCATAGAAACATTGGCGGGAATGGAAGAAGGGGAATTACTACTCCGTGATCAAGTGGGATATGACGCTTTTTCTTTAGTATTTGTTGTCGGTATGTTCAATGTGTCTTTCTTTATAAAACATATAAAGAAATGAGATTTTACATGATATTTTATACAATACTATATTAAAGATCATATTTAGAATAAGTGATAATTCACAATAAATCGTCTTTATTTTATAAAATATAACAGTCAAAAATTGGTATATGATTTGTATTTTATATCATTGTTTTTATTTCTATCAGGAGGTTACAATTATGGACAGTCCCTGGATAGACAAGTTGGAAAAATTGATTCTGAAGCGATGTCCTCTATATTTTACAAGAATAAAAAGATAACAGCCGTGTGTTATATTTTACCGAACAGGAATTATGAATCCTTTGTTGACCTGAGAGTTATAACTCCTGGTGTTGGATACCCGGATATAACGGTCACACATGACATCAGCTCTTGGAAAACAGGTACTTGCACGTTTAAACGACGCTTATATTGACGCCCACTTACAAGTTTTCTTTCACAAAATTGACTATTATCAAAAAAACTGTTTACTTAATACTTTCACATTCTTTTATCTTTGAGTTTTACAAACCATTTGGATAAAGCTTGTTATTATTGTAAAAGATGAAATGCTTATTTTAGATGAAATATTCTGCTAAATCATTTGACATTAAAACATTTGCAGGCAATTTTGAGAAATCACAATTGGAATAGTAAAAAAAGAATAGTAATTAATCATTTAATGTCTAATTATACTGCTTTGATTTTCTACAGGTGACCAGGTTCTATTTACTTCGACTGATTACAAACCGCACCATGCAGAAGTCCGAACCATTAAAGAAATAACTGGACCACATACCTTCAAAGTGTCACGTATGATTCTTTCTAGAATATTGTATTTAACTTAATAAACTATATATTTCTAACACTTTAAATGCCCAATAACCTCATAAATCGTTTTATTTTAATTTCTTAAAAGCTATTTGTTTTTGGTGTCCTGGTATAGTTTCCAAAAAGATACTTATTGGCAAATTACCTGAACCATTTTTTGCCTCTGTTGTTTTCTGACAAAAAGTACAAATATAGCGATTTCGTAATTTGTATGGAAGTTAAAATACTATTTTGTTTACATTTTGCGACTTTAATGACAAATAATTTCACTTTCAGTGCTACTTTCTTCAAGTAATAAGCATCTAACTTGTTATAAAACAAATTATTTAAATGTTATAAAACTCATGTTTGCTTTTTCTTAAGTAGAAAACATTTATTTATTTCTAAGTAATCATGTGCCTGTAAGCAATTCAGGAATACATTTCATGTTATTTTTCAATCTTTAACTGTAATTTCAATAAAAAGGAAATTATAAACGATTTCTGAAGTTTCTGATTGTTAAAGGGTTATATGTAGTTTACTATACATGTATGTTTTGTTTCAAATTTGTTATCTATTTTAACATGTTTAATATACTATTTGTAAAAGAAGATTTCAAAGCAAGACACTTATTTATGTATTATTTTATAGATTCAATAATTATCTAAGATATTTTATTAAGTTTGCACGTATTTAGATGTAGATGTATCAAGCAAATTGAACATGGTTCTAGTATAGTATTTTCTAAAATGTTATTTACGTCATACAACTTGTAGAAGCAAGGGACAACTAAATCAACATCTGTTAATAAGTACCTATATTTTGTTGCAGACGAATTTTTCTACCGTCATTTTGGTGAAATAGAAAAGGGAGTGGACATGCGCGGGGAAGTTGCTTTGTTAACACGGAACATTAAGATATCGGGTGTTCAGCAAAGGGGCTGTCCAGCAGAAAACGGTGATTGCAATCTGAATCCGAAAGAAGTGGACGTGTACGGCGGTCATATCAAGGTGATGATTTTATATTTGAATATATTGATATGTTTATTTTCATTTTAATATTAATCCTGAAGAAGTAATACTCTACTGCTATTGGACGTGAGTGATGTTGCAATCTTAAAGAGACAGTTATATTATTGCACTTAAGTATCAAACAGTTTTAGATTATTTTTTTCATCATGATCATCAAATAATCCAAGCCTTCTCCGAAGGATAAACAGTGCATGAAATTGATAAACATATTTGTGGAAATTTTTCATTTGAAATAATTCATTATTTTAGATAATGGACTTCAGTACTGTTGTGATTCAAGGGGCAGAATTGTTTTTTATGGGTCAGGCCAGGGATGAAGGTAAAAAAATAAATTTAAATGAATTCGTTACATCAGACTGTATCAAACGTGCAAAATCGGTTCACAACAACGATCGTAACGTTTATTTTTTTATACACGGCTGCTGCAAATATAAGAAATATTTTTTACTTTAATCACGGAAACAGTTATTAAAAATTCTAAGTTCTTTATGAAGTCTTTTGAAATGATATATGGCCTTAACAGTTATTTGCTTCATTATTGTTTAGTCAAGACCATATAACTATTAATACATAGTCATATAGCTGTTTAACGTACACGACGGTTTATACATGGTCATATAATGCTTATACATGGCTGTAAAACCGTTTATATATGACCACATACCCGTTTACATTGGACCATATAACCGTTTATAAATGACAATATGACCGCTTATACATGGATACAGAACCACATAACCGTTTATCATGACCATATAACCGTTTGTACATGACAATTTGATCGCTTATACTTGGCCGTATAACCTTTCAAGTAATTTTATAACGATTTTAATGCAACACACTTCACGTGCAGTATTTTTACGTATTTGTAGGTACTTACAAATTACAATGTATGCATATGATATCATAAAAGAAATACATGTATTTTAATTCATATTTAATATTTCAAGGATTCTATCCCATACATTTTCACATGTGCAAGGACATATCTGGAAAAACGGCCATTGTCAAGGGCAACTCTATACACCATACATACAGACGAGCTATAACCATACATGGAACTTTTGGTACATCTGTTGACATACCCGGTGTCCAGGTAAAATAATTAATTTTTCATCCTCTACAGAATATCTTCATCAAAATTATGAAGTGTCATAATTTTCATTTTCTTTATTAGTAATATGATTATTGTTATTAATCATAAATATTACTATAATTGTTTTATTATTATTATAACATGTTTTATTATACATGTTTTATTATATAACAACTTCTAATTTTATTATTATTATTATTATTATTATTATTATTATTATTATTATTATTTTAAATTTTTATCATCATCGACATCATCATCATTTTAGAGGACTGCGTTTTATAGAAAGTCCTTAGTGTATTCTAAATCTTAGGACATAAAACCAACTTTAGGACTACCTTAAAACAGTTTGAATAAACATTTTTATCTTTAGACTTTAAAAACACGAATTTTCCCGAGAAAAGTTTAGAACTACAATGACAGAATGTGTAAATGCGCATCAGCATTGCTATTCAGAAATTAAGTGTCATAATATCTAGGCCATAAGTTAGGATATTTTCTTTGAAACGCAAAATTGTCTTATTTTGATCTTAAAATTGATTTTCATACGAAGGACTTTCTTTGATAGGCAGTCCAGCATCAATATTGCTTAACCTACAACATAGTAAAATACATGCATATGTTGCAAAAACACCAAGTTCTGACAAAACATATTTCAACAAATGTATGGGAATGAAATGACTAAGTTTATTTACTTTTCAGTACAGCATCGAATGTTGGTGTGGTTTTTTTTCTGTCGTTTAAATATCCAATATCTTAGTCACAATACATACTTATAGGGAACAGTTTTTGTTTTGTTGTATCAGTAAAGTTTAGAGAAAATTAATTGTTTCTAGATACTTGAGAACGTAGCCTATGAAGTGTACGGCCACACATACTTTCTTGAAGATGGGGCTGAATCGGCCACTATATTACGTGGAAATCTTGGCGCCGTCACAAGAAACATTATCAACGACTTTAGCACAGATCGGGAGTAAGTATCTGCTTCAGATCGTTCCTAAATATCCCTGATTTTCAAATTGAAAGGTGTTTGGTAAAGTCTCTCACTTTGAGAAGCAATTGTCCATAATTTACTGTCAAACAATCTTTAATAAGTTCGGACCAACCACAGTGGGTATAGTTCATACATATATAAGCTGGGCCATGACAAAACCAACATAGTGCGTTTGAGACCAGCATGGATACAGACCAGCTTGCGCATCCGCGCAGTCTGGTCAGTATCCATACTGTTCGCTATCAGTTTCTCTACTTGTAATAGGGTTTGTCGGCAAACAGCATGGATCCTGATCAGACTGCACGGATGCGCAGGCTGGTCTGGATCCATGTTGGTCTCAAACGCACTATGTTGGTTTTGTAATGGCGCGGCTCATATACTGTCAGAATATTGACCTTTTTACTTGTGTGTCACAATGATGGCTACAGACCAGTCAATAGAGGTAAGCCAGGTTTTACGTGAGACGAACTCTATTTTACGAACAAAATCAAGAATCAATATCACAAGTAACTATTCCAGCCGATAATAGATTTAAACTGTTGAGCAGACTAGTGAACCTGGACAAAGCTCCTTTGGTAGAATATATCAATTTAGCGGACAAATCTGTTGGGCCTTCAAAACGCAGACGTTATTGCTATGTTAGCATAACGAGCTTAAAGTTAATCGAAAGTGATAAAAAAAATCTTGAGTCTTTGGATTCTGTTCAAAGAAAAGTAAAATTTAAAGTAGAGAAAATAAAGAAGACAACTTTGACAAGGAACATAAACGGGACTAAATACCAAAGTTTTTATGAACTTAGCTCAACTATGAATTTTTTTCTAGAACTGTAAAGTACCAGACCTGTATTCACATCTCACCAAACTACACAACGCAATTGCAAAATATGACATAACGGACTGGGTTCATTTTCATTTTTCTTCTTTAAAATCCACAACGCAAATGTGAACCGTGTATCGTTTCGTCGTGTTATTGTCTCGTCGCTTCGGCGCTTTGTCGTTGTCTTATCGCTTCGGCGCATTGAATTGTCACTTCGGCGTGTTGTATTGCCGCTTCGGCACATTGTCTTGTCGCTTCGGCGCATTGTCTTATTGTTTAGGCGCATTGTCTCATCGCTTCGGCGCATTGTCGTCTTGCTTCGGCGCATTGTCTCGTCGCTTCGGCGTGTTGTCTTGTCTCTTCCGTGCATTGTCTTGTGGCTTCCGTGCATTGTTTTGTCGCTTCGGCGTGTTGTCTTGTCCCATCGTCCCGAAGCGACGAGACGATGCACCTAAGCCACGAGACGATCACACAATGAAACGTCGGGGTGATGCGCCGAAGCAACAATGCGATACCGGTATTCTGAATCAACGAGACGATGCGCAAAACTGACTTGACGAAAACGCAATGACAGGGCAATGTACCGAAGCTTCTTTTTCTGCTTGTAGGAGAGCTACTACGTTTTGGATAACGAACCCTAAGGTTGTGATGGTGGACAATGTTGCAGCGGGTTCATCGGTGGTTATTCTTGATATTATTTATCTCAGTAATAAATCAGTTTTCTTTGATTTTAATAGATTTGAAATGTAAAAGAAATAACATTTTTTTTAAAAAAGGAACAAAAACAGACACAAAGAACAACATTCAACTACTGACATATAGTATTTTAACAGACGGACAAAACCCCACCAGTTAAAAACCCACCACTCAAAATTTTATAGAGTGGACAAAACCCCACCACTCAAAATTTTATAGAGTGGACAAAACCCCACCACTAAATTTTACAGTTTTGTCCACTCTATAAAATTTAGTGGTGGGGTTTTGTCCACTCTATAAAATTTTGAGTGGTGGGTTTTTAACTGGTGGGGTTTTGTCCTACATTCATAATAGATGTGTGCAATATAGCTAGACGATTTTTGTATAAATAGATAAATAATAGAGAATTGTATTCATATAAAATATATTCTATATTTGGACATTATGTGGCACTCTAAAAATCACGTTTTGGTCGAATTGGCGATTACCTGTTGAATATTCAATTCAAGGCTCTCAAATGGTTTTGCCCTGTGACTATCAGTCCCTAATGCATTATTATAATAAGAAGTTATCATACTGCAGTGACACTCATACACGCAGTGGTACTCATACCATACAAGCAGTGACACTCATACAAGCTTAAAAAGATTGGATACAGAATTAATAGAGCTGAAAATGCATTTTCATTACAAATATTTTGATCTCTTACACATACAAATATCTATTAACTTAGTTACCTTCTTTGCAAAATCTTATCCAAAGGTGCCTTGGTTACACAAGATTGTGTTAAATAAAATGGCCGACATTTTGCAGTATCTCATACATATTAGGCTGTAAAAAAATGAGTGTGCTGAGAATTTCAAAAGAAAATTTGTGTACGAGTATGTCTCATATAAGAAGATGGCTTGACATCAAAATATATCCCTCACAGAGGTGATACTTTGTAAAGGAGAAACATTGACATAATGTCACGTAATGTAATTATGACGTTCGGTTGCGTTACCATGTAGTCTTTTTTTCTGAATAATCAAATTAAATGATATGCTGTTTGTTTGCATGTTCACAAAAATAGGGTACTAACATACCGGTGAAAAATTTAGAGACCTGTTGCGTATTTCGTATTTAAACGTTGTCCATGACTTATTGGGACAGCCCTTGTATAACGAAAGAAAGCATAAGTTTGAGCAGTTATTATTATATTATTCCTGAACACATATATGTTGTAAAATGTTGAACTGTTATTGCATTATATTGAAAGGTGGTTAAATAAACGCTTTACTTCAGATATTTAGATCGATATGTACAGAACACTTACATGTGATATTTAAGATTGAAATGAAGCTACAAAAGTAAAGGGTTGAGCTTCCGGTTCTAAGGTTCAATATGTTATATTATATCTCATCTCCAGGGTTTTGGTATCTGGTACACGTTTCCAAGGGAACCAGTAGGACCTTCAACAGGCCTGGCATATCAATACGAGGAAGCGAAACATACAGCGATGTGGACGTTTGATAATAATGTTGTCCACTCTAATGAACGGGTATGGCCTTTAACCTTCTGTATGTTGTGAATAGTATAGTTTTATCCAAAGAAAAATGTAAGTGAAAGGTACCTGTGTATCGGCATGGTACCAGCCAATATGCTGGGTACCAGATGTTGGGAGACTTGGCTTGCTGGTACCAGACTGTGTAAGCAGGTCAAGAGTTACAGATGTCCTAGGACCATTTGTGCTCAAATTGTTGATAAATAAATAAATAATAACCTAAAGTTACTATGGCTGTAACGAAGAATCATGATATACATTGTTTGAGAGCAACATCTAAAACGAATCAAATTTAAAATACAAAAGAATTGACTGAGAAAAAAATGAAAATATATACCCGGAAATAATATTTTGTTTGTTAAATCCTGTTGTATGTTTCACAAAAGATCATTATTATTTTGAAGGGTGGGTTTAACTTTGACTTCATAATGCTGAGTGAAAAGGGAAACATCGGCGGTTGTATGAATTACGAGACGAGGGAGGACCCGTTCGATCCTCAATCACCCGGGGTGAAAGTTCAACTGAATCGACTTACAGGTATTCATCTGATTAGTAACCACTTTTTTGTCACTAAAACCCTCATATATGTTAGATTAAATATTAAGAATACAACAGTAACCTCATTAAAGACATATCCCGAGTAAAAACCTGGATTCATTCTTATCAATATATCCGCGTTTTGTCCAAATATTTCTTAAACATATCAAATCACTTTTGCCCTCCGTCGAGTCTCGTCTTCACTTTCCGTGTTCAACAATCAATGTCAAAGCATTTTTGTACTTTGTCTTGCTTGAATTTCTTTACCAGAGTCCAAAATGTTCATATCAAATCCTTATTGTATTCGGAGTAACATTTTTTTGTCAAAATGTGAAAGAAATGTGGTGTGAAGTGAGGGTGTTATGCGCCTCGCCAAATATAGGTTTGTCAGGTGTTCACTCGTCCAATAGAATTCAGTATTGTACTCAGCATTGTATAGTAACTTCATTGTATCTATATCAGTGGCACTTAAAACACGTTTATACGACAACATTTCATACGGAATAGGGGGAGGGGGTAATCTAGTTTGTTTGTTTGTTTCATTTTACGCCTTTTCCCAACAGTATTTTAGTCATATAGGCGGGTAGTTTCCTAACCATCGTTCCTGGAGAGTTACACCAGTACTAGACTACCTTCCTCTGTGCTAAACTACCAAAGCATCTCCCGGGGATCGAACCCACGCCAGAGAGGTAACTGGATTAAAAGTCATCAACTCTAACCCCTTGACCGCGGAGGCTGTCATCTAGTGGATAGAGGAAAAAATTATTATTTGAATTTATGTGGTATTTCGTATTTTTGTTATTCAGCATACAAGAACCAAGGAATTAACGTTTGGTTGAGAGGGGGATGGTTTGAAATTTACCAGCTATCGTAAGTTAACCACGTTTGTATAAAATAGCCAACTTTATACTTTCCTTAAGTTCCTTACATTTTCCCCATACAAGATTGCCTTTTTTACCATGAAGATTGAACAACAGTTCTATAGTACATAATATGAATTTGGTTTTCTAAAAATGCCTGAAAATTAACAAAAATTTAGTGGAGTAGATAAATCACAATACAATGTATTTAGATAGATATTTAAAAAAAACTGTGAACTATTATTACAAAAATATATTACTGACTAATAATAATATTAAGAGAAATGTTTTACATGCTATACTAGGTCTGCTGAAAGCCAAAAGGGACTTCAAATAGCAAGGTAAGACTAGTTTTTTTTTTATAAACTCAATAAAAAATCCCTAAATAATATATATATGCACATGTCATGATAATAAATATTTACTTTATTCTTACTTAATATAACTGTAGCAACAATAATAAGACACTATCATTGCAGGAACTGATGAAGTCATCATTAAACGATCTAGCGTGTTTTGTTGATTTCGTTGTTGCTGTTGTTGTTTTTTCTTTTGGGGGAGGAGGGGGCGAGTCGTTAATGTTTTTGTGGGTTTTTTACATAATTTACCGACATTTTAGAAAATATTTTTATTCAACAACTAGTTGTACTTCATGATAATTTATCTTGATTGTAACTGTCAAAAAATAAATAAATTTCATAAAAATGTGTAATTAATATCTTATATTTTAACACCGCGAAGGCGTCCAATTTCAGTTTCACGATGTAATAATTTACTGATTTTTGTTTATTTACGAAGAATTGTTTTTCCAAAGCAGAAAATCTAAATAACAAAGTCAGATGATAAGGTTGGTTTCCCTACAGTGAACCCCGAGCACAAAACTGTTCCTGGGGACCACAATTATATTGGAATTAGTATAATTAGTATTACTTTTATGTATAAATACTACCTAACATATTGAAATCCTGTTTACTTTTATTTTTTTCTATTTTATCATAGGGGCAGTGACCAGTCTATATATATCACAAAAAGTATTTTCCTCGGTAGATCTGTTGGGAACTACGAAGATTCGAGCTATCCAGATGCGGTTTTACCATCCGAGTAAATAATATTTACTTACATACTAACTTCTACTTTATCTTGCCACACGACTTAGATTGCTTCCACCTGCAGTGTAATACGTGTCAGTCCGCTTAGCTCAATAAGGAGAGCCTCGTATTTGTAATCCAGAGATCGCTTGTTGGGCGAAAGTTCTCCTTGACTATCGGGAATATAGTCGAATGGTCATTTGATTCTCACTGCTGCTTCAGAAATCAACTTCATTTTAATTATCACATCAAAATTAGACTATCTGATAAGTGATATTATCCGCTTTAGCTGCAGGTCGGTTTGAAATAAGTGTCATTGTATGTCCTGTAACGCGAATAAAGGGTTAATTATAAGGCGTTTGGCTCGAAACTTTAATTTAATAATCTTAATTATTTCAGACTTGGACAGATCCTCGGCACAGTGTTTCACGACGGTCCCACTTACTTCAGTAAGTGCTGGTTTGACGGTTTCCAGGGTAACGAAACATTCATTTCTGGAGCGATTGGTTTTGCACCTAAATTGAAAACCGACACATCAGTTGTTAGCACGGTTACTGACATGAGATTTGGTTTTGTTGATGGGGTAAGTTATATGTCAATTTGGCACTTGCGTTAAGTTTGGTACAAACAGGTAGCTGATTAAATCATCTGACTTCCTAAAACTTCTTTGGACTCCTCATAACATGGCGGAATTCGATGCCTCTACAGTATGCTTTAACCAAACGATTGGTCGCCTTAACCACTTGTATATGGAGGCCCACCAGGCTTATCTTTATGAACGATCTATCACTGCTTAAATCTTTTCTATTTCTAAATCTACGGACAATATCATTGACAGGAAGATGGTACTCGTGTATTTGACGGTCTGGTTGATGACAGTATTCAGGGGATTATAGAATTTAGCATCCAAGAGGCTTCCACGTTCCGTGACGTTGACGGTTCCGTCACACGCTGTCCCTCAGACTCCGACTGGACAGGACCTGTTCAAGTTATAAAGTCCGAGCCAACCACAATTACGGAGAAATGTGTGTATAGGGATAACTGGAACATGGCAGTTTGTAATGACCTATATGGCAAGGTAAAACATTAACTCAACAGTTTTTTAATACTTTGTTTATATTTCATGTTCGTGAAGTTGGCAGCCTAACAGCCTGGCAGCCTAGCAACCTGAAGTTGGCAGCCTAACAACCTGGCAGCCTAGCAGCCTGAAGTTGGCAGCCTAGCAGCTTGGCAACTTATTATACTCAATAGGTCAATAAAACATTGCGTTTAACTTTTTATTTGTTACATTAATTTCACTGACTTAAGCAACGCTCGTAAAGTAGTGGGCAAATAAATTGTTGCTTGAAAAAAAAAATGTTGATAAAGTTCTGTATGATATAGTATGAACATTTAAATGTGATGAAAAATAATATTTTGTTCTATATGGATATATGTACCTCACACTTGGTTAATACTAAATGCTATCAAGTTATCAACGCTATCATTTATTGTAATACAGATATTCCATTATAGACCAATTCACTTCTATAAGGCACATTTGAAGATATTACTAATGCTTTTAAATATCTCATATTGCGCATCTAATCATGGAAGAGACCAATATATAACTTGTTCCATGTATACAGTAGACAATACATTCGGATATCTTTGTATCGTTGCTGTGATAAACAAGAACGATGTAATGAAAAATACGCGTGATTCGCGAGCCGTTTCTGAGCTCGATTCCAGTTATTGTTTTCAAGATATATACCCTATAGATACTAACATAATATAACGATTTCAAGCTCAATATTATCTTAAGTGGCAATTTGACCCATTTATGAGTATTATACCCATATAGTAAATGAAAGGCAAAATAATTATAAATTTTGCCGTTTTTTCTTTCAATTTTATAATTTACTTCGCATGAACGATAAATAACTCACATAGCCCGTAATATACATCGGATTTTACTTGTAACGTTAAATTTGGCAGTCTTTTTATATTTTAGGTAGGTTTATATTTTATCATTAACATTTTCCAATGTTAACTGTTGATCGATCACTTTATTATGACAGCCATTATTTTGGAATATATAGTCAGTTCAGCTCCACTTGACAATGGAAAAATGACAATGTCACTTTAAGTAATAGTCGCACGTAGAGCTCCTGTTCCCAGTTTAGAAAATTATTGCTTTCAGTTCGTTTTAATTGCATTGATTTTCAACGAATATGTTTGAACATAATATTATGTTGTAGAGATTTCGGGTTTGTATCGAAAAATTATCGGCAAAACAGAATTTCTTTTATTACTCCGTCTAAATTTGTATCAATAATTTCTTTTAAATCATTCACAAAAAAAATTAAAATTGCCAAGTTAAACTCGAGTTCCCACGGTTTGAATCCTATCCCTGATTCGAAAATGTCGGTACACAAATTTTTACTGGTTCATACATAGACCTGATAGTTCTAATAAATCAAGAGCTAGAGTCTTGCTGTATGAGTTTGTTTAAAAGTAGTACCCTATTTATTTTATCAAAACATTTCTCAAAATCTACAAATATACCAAAAAGTTTTTTCTCCTCACTTAGTACTTTTGCAATTTAACAAATGTCAAACTGTGTTGGCTTGCCCATTTGAAAGCCAGTCTGGTACGGGTTAATTTTTTGGTATTTTCTCGCCCGTTTTGTAAGTTGGTTTAATTAACAAAATTTGAGCATGAATTTTCCCAAAGATATTGATATCTTTATTATTCTTTATTGTTTTCCGAGTTATCCGCACTTCCATTTAAAAAAAACCGGAACAATTATATATATACCTTTAATTAACGCTTTATCATACAGTTTAATTAGAAAAGAGTTTTTAATATTTAAATATTTCCGAGGAGGGTAAGTTATGAACTCTCCGTTTTTTTTTTTTTTTTTTTTTTTTTTTTTTATATTTTTTGTTTATTGTTTTTTTTTACAACACAACCTGTATTTTCTAAAAAAAAAAAAAAAAAAAAGGAGAGAGCCATGTTGGCATTTTTGGTACATTTGCAATTAACATAAAAAATTTTTTCTGAATGTTGAGGCCAAATGGTGAAACTAGTTGACTTGTGTGGCCCTTTGTCGTGAAGCATGTTGGTAAATAAAGCGCGTTCGAAAAATTAATTATGATAAATACCCAGACTTGATTTAATGACGTTTTTTTTATCTAAGCGGTCTATGTATATACTGACATTTTGGTGAGAATTATTTTTTTATTACTTATTGATATTAAAGTTGATGTTCGGTGCGCTCGACTATTTCCCTGGAACAACAGAGAAAGATTTCAATACCTACACTAGACAGGTCCGGAGACGTCGCTTTGACGATGATGATGAAATATATGCAGAAGATGATGGAAACTTGGAGCGGAAAGAATTTACTACGATTATCGGCAAAGATGAATATTACTACGAGTTTCAGTATATAGAAGATTTCCCGAAGAAGATGAGAGTCACAGGGAAAGGTATTGAAAAGTGAGTAATGTTTCGATTCCCAGTCTTTTTATTATTATTTACTAACACTTTGCCTACTAGTGGCATCTGTAAAAAACAAAGATTAGCCGTAACACCCATGCTGTCTGATCAGGGTCTACACTGTTCTGTATCAGTCAGTATTTATTTTGAACTCCTACCTAAAACTGATGAGTTTGTCAAGCTTGCTAAATAAAATGAGAACCAAGATGAACGAGACAATGTACCCCGACATAGCCACATCGGCAAGGCGCCCAAGAGCTCCAAAAGGTAGACATGTCCGTTTTAGTTAATAAAAGTGTTTTTGGGCTAATAATTTAAAAGCACAGTGCTTTACAAGATTGCACGCCACTGAAATAATGGCATATAGATGTGAAAAATAGTTTTTTTTATTTGTTTTAAAAGCACATTGATATTTTTATGTTGAAATGATAATATATCGCAGGACTTTAAGCATGGCTCTACGACAATCTATATTTCTATTTATAGAGGCAAATCTGTGGTCGTTGGCGTTTGTTTACCAGAGGGCGCTAATGAAGAAAACATAAGTGCGTATATTTACACACCAGACGATATCACCTTTGGTGGAGATGGCATGAAATTTGTAGATTCCATGGAAGAAGTTAAATCCGATCTTCGGATGCGCAAAGTGTATCTGAAAGGAAGGTAATAACACTGGTCGGCGAACTAGATGTATCTCAGTTCAATATCATAATTATGATTTAACAGTAACATTGTAATGTATGCCATGATCGAAGTATCGCTGTGTGATCGTTAGAGGTGACTAAATGGGTTCGAATAACTGGAAATAATAGTCTGTGCATCTCTGAGCTCCAGCAGGTGAGTTGAAGCTTGTGACACCCAAAGCTTGCCAAAACCATATATCCTGTAAAGGATAAGATAGAAAACGAAAATGTGAATCTTCAAAGCAAGAAATTTTAAAATGGGATCCGAAGTGTTAAGCTAATGTATATTTTTTACACTTAATTTTACTGAGGACTCTTGCTAAAACGCGAAGAAGATTTCAAAGAATAAATTTTTCCTACCTGGTGTTTTTAAAAAAATGCTGCCCGGGGAAAAATACAGGATATGTGTCCAAACGTTAAGCAGACATGATATTATCATATTATTTAAACATAGAACCCGTAAACTTCAAAGTATCTAAGTGAGAAACGAGCTAAAGCAGCTTTTGTTGCAACGGTAAGGACTATTTAGATTGTACTCGTACCATTGAAAATGACTTTTATTAAATATGGATTCCACACAACATTTGCAAATTCATCATGAGGACGAATCAAAGCTGTATACACTTTCACAATAATGAGTTTATATAGATCTATCCCAAATCATTGAAAACTCTATTACCAAAAATGTAGTAATAATTTAAGAAAACGCCTTTCCGCGTTTGTGAATAAGTCCATATATCAATAATGTGGTTCAAACAACAGAAAGTGATAAATCAAACCAATATATTAATAAATTTTTAAGTGAGCCGAGTTGATCCGTGCCGAGTTGGAATCGGGCCGAGCTGACTCGGGGGCCGAGTATGTTAGGGCCGAGCTGACACTAATTCAATTTAAATACATATATAGATATAATTAGACAATATACCAGTGAACTAAAGTGGGCCATACCCTGTCGGCTGACTGGTCGGCTTAAGCAAAGAAACGATAGGTTGAGCCAGACATGGGTCTATGTCTCTGCTTTAGCTACATCGCTATATACCATATACCGCCCATTTCTTAAAACAGACTGACATGGTGAGTTCCTGTAAGCATTAATAAAAACTAACATACTTTCAACGATGCTTATGACTACCAGATTCTAATATAAAATATCAAAACAAGCTTACCTCGATCAAAGCTCTTTGATTTTCCAGGATTTTCCATCAACTCGACATCGGGAACGGACGATGTCGAAAGACTGCCCACTGACTTGGACAATATTTCATCCACACGATACGTTGTCACAGATAAATAAAAGTAGATGTCGTAGAAAATGGCTCTATGCTCATGAATAAAAGGAAGAACTACACTTGGATTAATTAATGAGCTTCTAAACGAGGTTTACGCAAAATTATACCAAAAAGTCTTACACTTCTCACGGCCCCGTCCGACAACTATCTGCGCATGCGCAGAACGTAAAGTCTTACGTTCCTCACGGGACAGACAAAATTCACCCACACCGGTACACGGATGTTTATGTATTTATAAGCATGTTTTAAAATGAAAAAGTATAACTTACGTAGAGCTCATTGTGAATTTACATACTAATAATTTAATACAATATTTTCTATTTTAAGAATGTTGTACTTCCGCATGAGCTCGAAAAAGGCTCGTGATATGAATTGGGACAGAGAAGATAACAAGAACTGCGCAGGCGCATTCTGTCCAAAGTTTGTACTGTATATGAGTGAGCAGCTAGAATATTCTCCATGTTTCGACGTTACAGAAGATCAGGTAAAAATATCGATAATTGGGGTTTTTTTTATTTAAATATCACCTGTTTTATGTCATACAAATCACCATATAGTATTTTAAAATGAAATTCAAGTACTAAGAAATATATGAATTTCATCGTGTGCTGGAATTGTCAGTTCTGTTCTAGTGAATAAAGTACAATTGGCTTTTGAGTATGATACGTGTTTAACCAGGATATATTAAGATTCAGTTGTTATGTTGTCAATGTGTCAGTCTTGAGAAGTCTTGTGAACAGCTGAAGAAAGAAATACCTTATAAAATAATCTTATGTTCAATTTTTATTACCAAAGAATTATACTATTTGCTTATACTATTCAAGCGCATTTTCATAAACGGCGACATGTATATTGTATATACTAATGTATGTATTGTTTGACATGGGTGTCTAAGGTCGTTGCCCTTCGCCCCCCCCCCCCACCTCTGTGGATCTGTGGATTCGATTCCCACCAAGGACTTTGAATTATTTTACGTTAGGCAGATTACGAAACGTTAATGGTTCATCGCAGTTGCCCGCTAGTGTCTGAAATAACGCACAGAGAAGCACCGCCAGTAAAGCTTAACAAATGTCTTGAAATAAAAACTGTGTATAAACTCCGGAAGCCGCATATTTGTGTTATCAGTTATCAATATGTTGACAATCTTTTTCAGTTAAATAAGAAAATTACTGTCGGAGATCACAGCTGCACACTTCCTGCTTCTCAACCAGATCCGGTAATATATCTATCAAATTTTATATGAATAAAATGGAAATTTTAACCCTTAACCTGCTGGGTTTTTTTTTGTTGTTGTTGTTTTTTTTTGATGGATTTGCCCAGATTTCAATTTGTAACATTCAATTTTAACTTAAAGCAATTTCAATACCAAAATAGTTAAAAAAAGAAAACAATAAAAAGTGAGTTACAAAGAGTATATAGTCTGTTCAGACTAGATGGATGTACGGGGTGGTTAGGATTTATACTACATGTAATAACACTTCAAGTTCCAGCAGGTTATGAGAGAAGACAGATTGCCGTGTTGTTACGCAATTTCATTTTGTTTTGACTGATCATGGTTGTATTTAATTTAAATTTCATGAATTTAATTTGCATTTCAAAAAATTGTTACTTTAACTATTAAAAGTCTGTTTTTCTTATTTCTTTACAAGCTATTTAATCTCGCGCATGTGTGTGAATTCATATATCCATGCAGATATACTTGTAATTAATGCCAAAATAAGCATGACTTTGCAAACTAATTGGTCAAGATATATTTTAATATTTTAAGAAATGATAACTTTATACCAAAACCGTCCTGGTTTGGTTCTTTGTTTTTCTCAACGTAAGATAGATCGATATGCACGCTAATGTTTGGCAAAAATCTGCTCTTAGAGTTTTGATTCATATTACGAGTACGATATTTTTAGCTTAAAATTACTAACAACCGTTTTCTGATATTTATAAACTGATCGTCACTCTTTTTTATTGTAGGTCAATGTTCATATGCAAATATCTTAGTTTCGTTAGTCAAATTTTGGGAAACAAACATTATTTCACTCTAAATGAAACTGACCAATTGAACATATATCAAATAATTTTTCAGAAAATGTGGCTTTAAAAACATATAAAGCGGCTTATTTTTATTCCAAGTTTTAATGGCAAACATTGATATGGACACCAGCGTGTTTTCTGTCAGAACTTTAGTTTAAAAGTAAGCAACTATTGAATTATTTCAGGATTGGGGAGCAAGGGATACTTTGGCTTCAGAGAACGGAAGTTGGGGGCAATGGAGTGGATGGTCAGAATGTTGCAACGGTATTCATGATTTAATAATCCATATGTGGTGTTCCCTGTGCAAACATTGAAGAGATTCTCCAAAAATGGAGACACTGATTTTGTATATACTAGTACATATATGCATTCTTTCCAACTTGAAAATGCTCAAGTTATTCTTTGTATTATTACATGAAATGTATCTTTCTACTTTACTACTTTAGATATATATACATGTATAGGCAAGCCCTTCACATGATGATATCTTTATCAAGACTTTACTGAATATCGTAAAATGTGCTTTATTGGCAACAGTAGAGCTTAGTTAAATAATACATGGCTCCCTGACTTTTGTCTAATTGTTTTAAATGACAATAGAAAAATGTTAATAATCACCTACTGAATTTTGTTTATATATAGAGGCTGGCAGGGATATAGTGCTGACAACTCGATATAGACTCTGTGATGATCCTGCACCTCGTGGTTCCGGTGCCGACTGCACTGGCGAAAGTCTTCAGAGTGCTCCGTGTCCGAACAGTTGTCCAGGTATGTATACGGCCAAAAGTTTTTATTTTTAATGAAACAGGTTATCATAATGGAATTTATAAAAAATTGATAAAAGATTTCAATAAAAAATGATAATATATTATACTTTCGAAAAAATAAAATAGATTTAACTTTCGAAAAAAAAAATGTTGGCTCTTTAACCAAAGTAAATATGTAAAAGAAACATATATTATGTTGCAACTGATTGAAACCTAACAATAAGTACCTTATAAGGGCGTGGTAAATCTAGCTTTAATATTTTGCGTCATTTCTAAGTCGGTTTTGCGCTTTTCTAACCTATACCAGATGGTCAATGATCAAATTACACTATTTGCGGAGTAACCCTGAAAATAAATAAGAGAACTTAAACTCAATCGGCCTTCGATCAAAAATTATCTTGCTCTACTATATTTCTTAATACAAGATAATATGCTGGATACAAAAATTGTGTCATATCATTTATATAATAATTATATTTTCGTCTTCAAAAAGTTGGAATTTCATTCACTTATAAATATAGTAAACTACACCTGATTTCATTTGACCATTCAGTTGATGGTGAATTGTCCGGATGGTCCGACTACACGGATTGTTTTTGTGACGGGATCGCTAAAGGATCAACAGGAGTTAGGACAAAAACCCAGGAATGTATAAATGCTGCAAATGGTGGACAATTCTGCAAGGGAGATTCGTTAAGACATGCAATGTGTAGAAAAACTTGTGGTGAAGCTTCTGAAAGCTCCGGTAAATATTTATTCCATCCGAAGACTTAAAAGCTGCTATAACACGTTTTAAAACATAAGAAACATAAATATATATCATAACAATAACCAAAATGCTGAAACGAAAAACGCTTGTACATTTCTTTAATTGAAAATATATATATACAGTAAAGTCAAATGACTGTTTCACATTTTAAACAATATTCATACTACATACTCAGTTATTTAAACGTTAATTGCATGTATGGTTATTTCACTTTCTTTTTATTCAATTACTACATTTTTTTCTAATCACGGATTTATATTACACTGCACCGACATTTGAAAACAGATTTACAAACAAAATAATAATGATATAAATGATGAATGAAATTTAAATATTCTATGAATACGGCAATATTGACAATCTCGGTAATATTTTGTACTAAAAAAAATGAATAATTTTTCTTCACGTGTTGAGCGAATTGTAAAGGCCGCAATACATTACCCGTAAAACAATTGTGCGTTAATAAATTTGACTACATAACCCAATAAATCTTAAATATCGCATCTTTGATCATCTGTGAATAACTAACATCGGCTTCTTTTTTATTTTGAAAGTGAAATTATTATGAACTTCAAATACCTGCTTTTTATATAAAAAACGTAAATTTACCGCGGATTTCGTCAAGTTAATTTTTTAATCGTCGTTGCGGACAGATAAACTGTACCTTTAAAAAATAAATTAGATATTTGAATTAAACAAGTATTTTTCTTCAAAATAAACTTTAAATTTTCAAAATCGGATAATAAATGGAAAAGCTGTATGATATTTTGTAAAGTAGGTATCCGTTGCGGACGGGCATTTACGCTTAGCGCCGGTAAATTATCGATCAATGTACCTTTATCGGGTGCACGACAAGATATTTAAGCATTTATATAGGGTTAATGCACCTATCAATATTTTGCCCGCCCGGGGGGCGGCGGGCTGACCCAGGTGAATTTGACATCTTAAAATGTTTGAAGTCTAAATCCCCACCCTAGAGACAACCAATTTTGTCTAAATCCCCACCCTTGAGCCTGCTTGGTGCATCAAATGCCCCGGGGGTAGGGGAGAGGGTAAATATCTAAGAGATCAATCAATAAATAAAACTGTTATCAGAAAAACAATGAAAAATATAAGTACAAAGGCTTATGATTAGGAAAATAATGAGTCCAGATTAATGGGCCTCTGAAGTAAGGTAGGTATAGTCACTCCCAATGAGTATATATGTATCAATTGTAGTTTAATAACTTTGATAGTATTCAAATAATTAGACTTTGAAGATAAAATGGGTATTTTCAAGTAATAAAGGGGCATAATTCTGAAAATAATGCATCCAGGTTAAAGGCCTTCTTAGTATGGTAGTGGTAGTCCCACTAAATACCGTACTTAGTTTCGATTGAATATCTTTCATAGAATAGAATGTATGACTTAAAAAAACCATTGCGGACACGGACACACAATCGATCGTATAAGCTCTTAAATATTTTACATTTATAGTTTAGCTACAAAATAAACCTACTAACATAGTTTCTGACACCACATGACCCAGTTTCTGTAGGGATGGTAAGCATGCTGACTAAGCTTAATTATAATTGAACCATATCTGTGGCCTCTTAGAGTGTTAAAACACTAAAAGTTGAGGACACCAGATTTGCGAAGACAGACATTCACCGATTACAATAGCTTCGTGCTCACAGCTCAGATGAGCTAAAAACTTACAACACTTTAACTTCTTATTTTATTTTAACATTTAACACAAAAAGTCATTAAAAAGGACATTCTTCCTCCTCCTGCGGCCAAACCTGGACACTTCCACATTGTTTTTCTGAAATAGAGGGCATTTTTATAATCTTTAAGGTTTCAAATGTATTAAGTTTCATTTAAATTGGACCAAAAATGTTCTAAGATTTGACCTAATGACTTAATTTTTGACCCCTCATGACCTAATTTTGAACATGTTCTAGATTTCATAGAGTTGAACATTTACACTAAGTTTAATGACAAATGGGCCAAAAATGTGGCCATTCTTTTTCTAAGATTTGACCTAGTGACATAGTTTTTGACCCCACATGACCCAACCTTGAACTTTGCCGAGATTTCAGCCAAACATTTTGACCAAGTTTCATGGAGAAACGACAATTATAGCTCACAATGAACACAAAGCTACAAAAAAAACTGACATAATTTTCTTAAGCTAAGTTGCACGGTGTACTCACAATCTGGTGCACTTTCCTCAAGAGCCTGGATAGGAGCAGGAGCCTGGATGGGAGCTTGAGTCGGGATATATAGGAGCTTGAACCTTGATAGGAGCTGGGACCTGGATAGAAGCTTGAACCTGGATTGTTTAAAAGTTAATAATTTAGTAGCACAACTTAACAAAGATTTCCAATATATATTTTTGATAGATAAAACAATAGGTTGTTTTTAATTCTATTGGAACAAAAATGGTACTGAATTTTGTTTTTCGTTTTTTTGAAAACACATTATTTTCTAACAATTCTGCTGGTACTAAGTCTATCAAACTAATCTTGCAATTATGGTGGGGAATCACGTGATATGGAGACTACATGACATGGTATTGCAGCAATTGATAATCTTTAAGATTCTGGTGTCCATGTGAGAATTTTTGTCAATATCTTTGTTTAACAGAAAATATTTTGGAGTATGCGTAACTGACAGGACTTGCAGTAGCCCCCAGTGACATTATAAACAATATTGTGCTTTTTCAGGAGAATCCACCAATTTTAAGTTTAAAGGAACATAATGCTTTTGTGAGTAAAATTTCAATTACTGAATAAACATATCATACTTATCCTCTTATTGAAGAAAATGGCTCATTTCCGCATTACTATTCTTCAGAAATTATTTTTTCATCCAAACATACCTCCAATTATTACATTTGCGCTACATGAGCGCAATATATTTATAGCGTATTTCGAAGATTTTCTTTCATGTCTTTAAGAAATCAAATGCAAATTTTTACATCAGAATTCTACTTCATGTCATTGGTGTGAAACTGAATACTCTTTTATTTCAAATAAAGTTTACAAATACAAAATACACATATTTAGACCACAGAAGTGCAATACCCCTTATGTTTTGTATGGCTTTCAGAAAAAAGCGTTTTTTGGCCTCAGACTCATTTAATGTTGAGGCAATCATTTATGAAATTCAACTCATATTGTCATTGTGCCTGAATACCTTTTTCAAAGACCGTGTCTCGGACGCCTTTGCCTTGCCCCGTTTTCTGTTGGCAGAAACACTCGTCAAATGGTCCAACCAAATGTTCACCTGTTTAAATATAAATCAACATTTTAATACATTCACATTTATCAGATTAGAACAAAGCCTTAAAATAGTTTCTGCAGATTAAATTTACTTTTTATTAGAGCAAGTCACGACCGTAAAGCAATACAAGGCCAATGAAGATGAAACCGATAGCCAAGATTCAAAGCCTCGTTATGACAAGCAGTTGAAACAGTAAATGATAAAAAACAATGATGGTTATACATCTGAAAAAAGGATATTATTTTATCTGGATCTGTTTTGACATACATTGTATTTAAATGCATTTTCTTACTTTATTAAAAATCATATTCTAACAGAGACATAGATAACAGAGATAGGCTTCTTCCTAGCCAGTTAAAATTTCACGCGTGCCTGCTAAACTTAAAACTTGTAGCAAGTAAAACTTACTAACCAGATATCAAAATCAGTAAAATAATACATTTTCTGAAAACTTATGCATTTGTCTATGGCTGCAGGTAAATATATTTACAGTTCCCATTTAAATAAATGTTACATCATTTTTTGTTACAAAACTATTCATATGACAAAAAAACTGGCTCAGTGGGTATGTTCTGCCATGTTTTTCTAAGGGAAAGGCATGGAAAGTTACCAATATTTTAACATGCAGCCATAGATGAAAGATTTACCTTTCAAAGAAAGGCTATATAATATTTAAGGATCAAATGTACATCCATTAACTTACTAAAGTTTTATTTGCTACAAAATGCCTATTTTTTCACTTTTTGATAGGCATGAGTGATATTTCAATGGAGTATATAAGAGCTGCTTATCTCTATGTCTCTGATTCTAATAAGGCTCAAGGGAACTACTGACTAAGTCAGTACACTTGGAGTCCCGTGACTTCAGCCTTTGGATTTGGACTCCCTTGCACGGATTTGCAGGCTGATCTGGATCTACACTGGTCGCATAGGTGTTAAAATAATTAAAAAATGAATAATTAATAACATAATTCTGTGTGTATGTATTCAACATCCGTTTTGTGTCACTTGATCAGTTCATTCATACTGCAGTTAAAGGGATTATCTCAATCGATACGACATTTTCTGCTGTAATCGTTTATCCCCGTACTGCCTCTTTCCGATCAGCTAACAGGTTTTTCTATAATAACTGACAGTGAAATTATAAAAATAAAATTTCTCTTAAAATTCTGCAAATATTATCATTTCAGCTAATAAATGCAAAAACTTTTTTAAATTTTATCTGAATTATTATTATGAATCGAGGACAAACCATTATTGACCCATTTTCTTGTTCTTCAAAATTTCACAACCACTTTTCAATCAGTTAACAAAATATAAACTGTACCACATAAAAATTGTCATACAATGTTAAAATATAACCAGTTATGTATTTTGAAGAAATTTTGACAAACTCAACTTCAGATAAATGGTAATAAACAATTTTAACCTATTTATAATGACATTTTTCAATCTTGATATCTATTTGCAGTAGTAAAACTGTCACAATTGGGGTATGTGGATATATTCTACAGGCAAAGTGAACGTTCTTTTGTGGATTTAGTATTATTAATACGAAATATGTATCAGTTTCATGTGATTTCCAACGCCTTTCAGACTCGCAAAATAAATGGGTCTACTCGCGAAAACAGATGACAAACATGAATACCGCTAGGCTCCACATAGTGTCTGGGTATAGGTGAAAACAAATGAAGAATACAATCCCTGTATACCTTTGCAAATAAATCCCAATGCTGGGGCAACCTTCTCGCCTTATCCCACAATTTTCTCTACCGTAGAAAAATTCGAAAAGTTTCATGTCTGCAACTTCAAAAACACGCCGTCGTCTTTAGACCTTTCGCAGTTACTCCCCTTTTTTATTTTGTGGCGTCGAAATTCCCGAGTCCCGGGATTTAAAAACCGGCCAAAGTCTATTACCCGGGACCCGGATTCCATAAGTTTGTCAAATTCCCGCCTGCCAGGAATGGTCTTCTGTCTAAAGCCCCGTGTATGCCCGCCTCCCCCCCCCCCCGGTAGGGCAAAATATTGACAGGTGCATAACTGGGAGTGTCCGATCCTTGTAATTTCTAATATAGAACAAAGGAAATAATATTTGACATTTTTTTCAGTTGACGGTACATTTAGTTCTTGGGGCGAGTGGACGGAATGTTTCTGTGGAGACATAGCAGAAGGGTCACTTGGTGCGCGGACAAGAAGTCGCACGTGCGAAGGCACGGCGAACTTTGGATATTATTGTAGCGGTGTCTTTGAAGAAATGATACAGTGTGACGCTGATTGTTTCCCGGGACAGTAGATTAAAACTTACAAATGATCTATAGAAACTTGCTCTCATGAGTTCTGTTGTTGTTTTCTTTTTTCTTCATATGTTCTCTATAATTGATAAAATCAGATTGTTCACATTCCGTCGATAACTTATCTACGTTGAGAAAAATAGCAAATAAAAATGTCTTCTTGCAAATACGAGTATATGCTTCATTTTCTTATTTTAGCAACCATCCTTCACCTGATATATTTTTCTAACAATTGTTCTGGCAGAATTTATTTATGTGGATAAACAGTAGCAACGTCATTGGGTTACCATGGCAACCGTAAAAATTGTTTATGAACTATATTTTATGGTTTATGCAATATGTTTTATGGTTTACATAATTATGTCATAAAGAGTGGAACATCAATTAATATGTTCACTTTGAGATAACTTTTTTCAAGTTTTTAAATAATATAATTGTATTCGTTTGAAGGAAATGTTTTAATGTTCGTAGCTAAACATTACTCGATTCAAAATCTGCAATTTCATCAGCTTTACAATTATGTTATTATCTTCCAACAATTATTCGTGAGTCTAGAGTCGTTAGCGAAATAAAAAAAACAATTTTAAAGTCTTGTAAAACACCATTTCCATATTAGGTCACTTTTATTTTTTCATTACATGGTGCAACTTAAATAATGATCTTTTTCGTTAAAAAGTTTCAAGTATTTTATACCAATTCGGTGCAGATATCGAAAATGTGAGGTGTAAATTAGACACTTTTCAAAGAGACACACTTTATTTAATATTACACGGTATAAACGGACTAACAGAAGCAGAACATTATAAGATTATTTTCAAGAAGTACACAATTTTATCAAAAGTAGTAGAAAATTTACATAATAATTGCTTTTGTATGTGCTATATTTCCGTATTTAAGACAACTCGTTGAAAAATTACTGTTATTTCTGATATTTTATCAAGTTGTTGGGGCGTTGTTGCTGATGGCAAATGAATAATTCATAATTAATCTTACTTATCTGATTTACTAATTTTTTTCTTAGTTTTGTTTGTCTACAATTTATAGAAATATTTGAAAACCATACTTATATCGCTTACTTAATAGATATATTAGAATTTCTAAAAATCCACACTTACCATTTTTGAAGTGAGCCAAAAAGATAGACCTTTAGGGAAGCACCCTAGATAAAAATAGTATAATTTTTGGTCTAACTCTTTTGTATGTACAGTAGTTACCTAAGATAATGATGTTAAATTGAGTTAATATATCATGTGCAAATACATCACAAAATAATACATGAAAAATTAATGTTGAGTTGTAGACTAGTCTTGCAATACTGTATAATATTTATTAGATCATCAGGTTAATTATAGTCCCCGGAATCAATTAGAATCGCCAATCTATCAAATGCAAAAAAGACAAGGAAATGGAAAGTTCTCAAATCATGAAATCGCTTATCAAAAACCCCGACCATACCACACGGGTCTCCCGTGGCCATATTCGGTGAAGTAACGGTGAAGTTACGATTGGCTCCAGAAAATGGTACTTTTCACGAAAATTTGTAGACTTTTAATACGAATATACAGAACGAATAAACCGCCTTTCTAAAAAGCAACCATTTCACGTTGGCCTCTCGAGTTCTAGAGCTTTGGGCCTTATATATTGCTGTAAAGAACCTCCAAACTAATGCAATGGCTATTCCGCAACGGAAGCACACACATGGTGACTCATAACGGTTGACTCCAGAAAATACTTGTTTTAACCAAACTACGTATAAACTTGATATACAGAACCTACAAACCGCCAATCCAAAAAGCGACCATCACGAGCCATTACATTTACCTTTGGTTAGAGCTTTAGGCATTATACTCGTAATGCTTTACCTCCCAACTTATACAATGGCTACTCGGCAACAGAATCAGACAAATGTTGTCGTAACGGTTGGCTTCCAAAAAAATGGTGGTTTTTTTTATGAAATTTGTAAGGATTTATACATGTATATACATGTAGAAAGAACCAACTGCCGATCCAAAAAGAAACCATGACACGCGAGGCCATTTTCCATTGGTGTATAGATAATATAAATCCGTGCTTTGATTTTTATTTGAATTCATTTTATCTTCTTTGTCAAAAGGCAGTAACAAATGAACTTGGAATGTTTGTAGAAAATAAATATACTCCTAGCTGGGACTTGAACCCAGACCTTTCCTCCAAAGAGAATTGTTCTACATTAAAACTACCAGGAGAGATAGTTTCTACAGACAAGTTGAATTTGAATTATTGGCCTCAACATTAAGATGTTTGTTCACGCTTTAAAAGCCAATCAATTCTGTGTAACAATTTACTTGATGTGTAATAGAATTTAGTTTTCATAATTCAAGTTTTTTCTAATGAATTATTCATTTCTTAATCAATGCAAAGAATACATTCAGAGTTAAAAGTACTATTCAGTGCCTATTTTGACAGGTAAACGATAGCGACATTTGCCATTCTTCAAGACTAAGAGGTAGTTACATTTCATTCAGAATGCAACATACATGTATCAGGGTATTTCAAATAGTTTTGAAATACTGTACCCTCATTCTACACACTGTTTATGAAATAAAGAATTCATTTACAGAAAAAAACTCAACATCTTCATTTACAAAAAACAAATTCTATTACTTGAGGCCTTCTATTACTTGAGGCCGAACTGTTTTGAGGCCGTGTTAACTGCAATTCGATGTGAGCGAGTCGTTTTGGGGGCGAACCTGTATAGCAATGTATGTTTGAACAAAGAAGTAATGTAGCCAACCTGACAACAATACAGTATAATCAAATAATTTTGTGAGCAACAATTAGTCAATGTTAATTTTTGACGTTTTTTCGTGTCTAACATTACTCTTTTTCTTTTCTAACTCTTTAAACAAATCTTTTTAGCTTCATTGACAACAGAAGTGAAAGGATAGCTTCTCCTTTAAAATTTAACGACTAGTAAGGCAGAATTTACCATTTAACATGTACTTAATTTGTGTCACAAAAGGCATGCAATTATTACCAGATAAGAGTTATTAGCTTGTATTGTGTCAGTTTAAGAAAAAAGTGCAATTTTAAAATATTTGTAGTAAACTATCCACCAAATACATAAGTAATGTTTATAAAATGGTTATAATAATTTTTAATGCAACAGCCCGGCTAGCTCAGTCGGTAGAGCACGAGACTCTTAATCTCGGGGTCGTGGGTTCGAGCCCCACGTTGGGCGATTCTTTTTTTTTTCATTGCTATATCTAGTCACATCACTTCCATCTGAGCCAATCTTAACCCAAAATAATTTTGTTATTGCTTATTATTATATCAATATATACAGGATATTCCATATTTTTTACAGTTAAAATACGGAATATGAAAATATGTACTTTATTTCATCAATATTTTATTTATAAGTATAGATCTATATTATAATTGAATGAATATTATACATGTATAATTATGTAAAAGATTAATACATATATGGATTTTATAGCTTATAATAAGGTATTATATAAGCTCCATGTGAATAAAATGAACAGTATTTGAATTTTAACATAATAATGGCACAACAAACTATGTTTAAAAATAGATACCCATCTCATTTACATTCTCGTGTGTTACAAACGGAGAGTGGAAAGAATTTCAGGACTAGAGGAATAGCAGTTCTATAAAGCAAATGTGTAGATCTACTTTATATGTTGTTAGGCCTACCCTATATTTCTATGTTTTCAGGACGACGGGTATCGGGGACAAAATTTAAACCCGGGTAGCCTTCTAAAATATACGCTTCTCGCGGTAAATAGTGTAAAGGGAGATCAGCGCGTAGGAGATAGTCGAAATGCATAAACTATAGTCATCTCCCCTTGTATACAAGTCGGACTTTTTTTTTAAACGCACGTTGTAAGACCTGTCTCAAATTTGAGTAATGTTCGTCCTTTGTCTGTCCATATACCAAAATGTCATCAACAATTCCAGTCACGCCTGGTAATCTTTCGAAGGCTTCATAAAGTTTCTGTTGAAATATGTCCTGTGAACATATAAGTCCAAAAGATAATCGCTACCAAATGGTGTGTTAAAGGTTGTGTAATATTATGAGGTTTCATCCAATTTCACGCTCCAATAAACACCCGTGGCGTCAAGTACTGAAAAGTACGTTGCACCTGCAAGTTGCGAAGTGACTTCTTCGAAATGAGGTCTGTACAGGGCTTCATTGAGTGCCTTGGGGTCTAGACATACCCCAAGTCACTAGAAGTTGGATTTTTGACCTTGTCGATTATTTCGTGCTTTTCCATCCGATCAAGTTCCTCTCGTAATATGTCTTTTAATGCGACAGGGACCCGTCGAGGTGGGTTTACGACTGGTATAGAGTCGGGCCTCAAATGTATTTTTTTAAACCAATCATTGAGTATATAGGGCTTGTAGCCAGTCTCAGGAGATATTTCCTGGCTATCTAATGAGTAAACAATTTTCAATAAATTTAGGTCAGTGGATGCCTGGAGGGATAACAGGGGTGAGGATGTAGTTTCTACAACATAAAATGTAATAGACCATTCTTAATATTCTACAGCTATTTTTAGAACAAGAACCAGAACGAGGCATAACTGGCAAGCTGATAAGCCAGTATAAGCTGTGTATACAATGAAATTGACTTATCTTTGGTTCCTAACATTAATTTCTCATTTGTAGAGTTATATATTAAACAAAACAAAGGTAATCCTTCTATAAAGAATTCAATTATATTTGTGAGGTATCCATTTATGGTTTAAGAGGTGAGTAAGAGAAGAGGTTTTTTTTACTTTCGGTTTCAATTTTGCTGTCATAAACATATTTCTGAACATAATATAAGGTTTATAGATATAAATCTGTGATGTCTTGCATTATATAATCTTAGGTGTTCTGTTATTTATGGATTCTTGATACCAACATAAAGGTAATTGCAAATTGAATCTTACAGATAAGCCCCTAATGACCTGTGGAAAATCTTTATCAGATGTGTATTGGGTGGATTATATCAAACATTTATTGACTCAGTTACCATAGGATCTGAAATAAACTAATGCCTAGCCAAATTCTATGTATACATGTACTTTATGAATTTTAATTCGTACTTCCAGTACTACCAGCAGATACTGGTTGCGCAATATAATTAAGGGAAATGTCATAGATAACAGAGAAAGAATG